TATTTGTGTTTTCTTTTAGTATTTGTCAAACACAGAAAGATTGCCGTGTGATGGCAAAATTTGCTACCAGCCTATTACCCAATGAACCAAGCTGTTCCACATGGGTCAGTTCTTTCCCCTTTCCTCTTCATGATATACTTGTCTGATCTACATCTGAGTCTTCCTGGTGATATATTGAGCCTTGTTTTCGGGGACGATATCTATCTTATTGCAGACGCAGAATCTAGTTACGAGTAAAACGCAAGATCCAATACTCTCTCTCCACCAAATTCAGAAATAGTATAATGATTTGAACCTTGAAATTGTTCCAGAAAAAAGTACCACCATTAACTTCTCTGGAGGACTGATAGCAGATAATTGTAGCTTCAACGTTTTCGACAAAGCCATCCCTTGGGTCCAAAACCTTCGAATACTCGGCCTACATTTCTCTAGCAAAATGACCTTTCACTATCATTTCAGAATGTTAAAACAAAAGTTAATTAAGAAACTCTCTGTGCTCCATTGCATCTCTAGCACACATTGGGCTGCACAATCAGATCACCTGCTTAGAATAGTCAATTCTTGCATCAGGAGTGTCGTTGACTTTGGAAGTCACATATTTTCCTTCTCCAGTCAAACCGGTCTCCCAACCTTAGACGTATTATGCAATGCTGCACTTCGAGTCGCAACTGGTTTGACTTGTTGAGCGCCTATTGCTCTCCTACTCAAAGGAGTGGGAGTGAGCTCTCTAGCTTCACGACATAAATGGCTATTGGCAAAATTCTACTTCCGACACATCTCCCTCCAATCATCTTCTTCCGCTCACGATCACCTACATCTCCTTCCCTCCAGCTTTCCATAAGGTAAAACAATTCCACTTATACTATTTATGCATAGATGGATGACAACCAAGAATATCTCTCAAGATGAAGTTATTAAATATCACTCTCCAACTCAAATCCCTTCAAAAGTTTCAGTTTATCTTGACAATTTACCATTCCAAACCAAAAATTTACTCCCGCTACAGGTTCGAGCGCTGTTTGAAGAGTTTCACCTCCAGAATCTCTCAAACTGCATTGTTCAGGTAACAAATAGATCCAAACAATCAGACAAAATTGGCGGGGGATTATATACCTCCAAAGGGTACACCATCTCATGTTATCCTAGCAACGACCACAGTATATGTCTAACGGACAACCGGAAACGGCATCCGGAAATCTCCAAGAATCTCTTCTTCTTGATCAAATTATAAAATCAAGTCAGACAATGAGTTCTCTCTCATTTATTTGAGCTCCAACTCACACTGGAATAAAAGAAAACGAACACGTAGACCAGCGTGTGAAACAAGCACTAAACCAAAATTTCATTTCTCATCTCATCCTTAATTTCATTTCCCATCTCGCCAAGCTTTCCTTAACGAACAGCTCAATAAAGAACTCTGTGGAAGGAAGGATTGCAAATACTTCCGTTCCTTCCCTCATCTTGATGGATCTCAAGATCACCGTCCACTAATCAGCTCCCGAAATCTCTTCCAACAAATGCTATTTTTACACAAGTGTAAATTGATATAAAACCCAAACTGCCGTACTGTGGAGGTATCGACACAAACAAATACTTCCTACTGGAATGTCCCTCATTCCTGAACCCCCGGAAAGAGCTTCACCAGTCCTCATCGCTTCTGAATTCAACATATACCGATATCGTGAACTTGTCTTTTAATCCTCGAACCAAACTCAAATTGGCAATCGAAATGGGCTGCAGGTGGCGTAGAGCAGATTGTTGTTGTTGTTAATTTACGTCACACTAGAGCTGCGCAATGGACTATTGGCGACGGTCTAGGAAACATCCCGGAGGATGATCTGAAGACATGTCATCACAATTTTAATCCTCTGCGGAGGGGATGGCACCCCCGCTTCGGTAGCCCGACGACCTGCGCGCGAAGTCGAGCACTTTACGGTAGCACAGTTTAACGAGGACCAATACCGCACACCCTCGGTCCCTATGCAGACTGATCCAAGTGGTCACCCCCCCCCCGCACACTGACCGTAGACAGTGATGCTTGACTTCGGTGATCTGCTGGGAGCCGTGTCTTAACGATCAGTCCACTGCGGGACGGCGTAGAACAGAACTCTCTACCTATGGCAACACTTCTCATGCTTTCCCCATTAGCCTGTGGAAAGTCATAGAGGAAGGAAGTACACTAGTTTCTCTCCTGATTTTCATGTAGATTAAAATCTTTTAAGTTAGAAAACTACATTAAACATTGTTCTAAAGAAAAGCATCACGGAAATTTCAAAAAATATTTTTATTAAATAAAAATAGTCCCGCAGAGGACTGATCGTTAAGACACGGTTCCCAGCAGATCACCGAAGTCAAGCATCACTGGCTGCGGTCAGTGTGCGGGTGGGTGACCACTTGGATCAGTCTGCGTAGGGACCGAGGGTGTGCGGTATTGGTCCTCGTTAAACTGTGCTACCGTAAAATGCTCGACTTCGCGCGCAGGTCGTCGGGCTGCCGAAGTGGGGGTGCCATCCCCTCCACAGAGGATCAAAATTGTGATGGCATGTCTTCAGATCATCCTCCGGGATGTTTCCCAGACCGTCGCCAATAGCCCATTGTGCAGCTCTAGTGCGACGTAAATTAACAACAACAAATAAAAATGAAAAATATTAAGAAAAGGGAAAATATTGCAGTACATTCGCATACAACTGAAAAGAGGGGGAGAAGGAAGGGAGAAGGGCCAAAGGCATGAAACCGGTCTCTCCCCATCGTTCGAGCGTCCATCTTCGAGCGTTGCGATGACAACAACAACAAACCGCTTCTGACTTACTGCAACAACCTCCAGCTATCTATCAAGCCTCCACCCTAAACTATAATAATGGAAATGCAAAGCTATAAGCTAACGCAGAGAGCTCGTCGCAGTCTTATACATCCCTCACCACCCACAATAAAACAAATGTTACTGTCATGGTTACTGTTAGAATTTAAATAAGTCTAACTATAAACTAATTTAAACAATACTATCTTGCATAAACTGAAGAAGACTTTCGCAACTAAATATGTGTAAAGAAAATTGTTTTTGATTTGTATTTCACTTAATGTGACATTTGGATTTAGAAGATTTATCCGTACTTGGGGACAGGATGTAATAAAACTATTTCCATGCAAATAGTATTCATATGATATTATCTTCGTTATACTGAAAACAAAAATCGATGGAATGATAAAATAACATTTTCTTTGTACTGACAGTAAATAAAATTCCTGTTGTGCGTGCCTAAATATTGAAAAAAAAGCGTGTTTTCTGTTCGATTCGTTTAAGATAGATTACTGGCAGAAAGAGATATTATTATTGAAGGCAATATCTTTTTGTGTGGACAATAACATTCTTTGTAGCGACACTAACGGTAAAAAGTATCTCCGCCAAGTGTGACACACAGTTGCAATGATGTTCTAAGAGAGAAATGTTTTCGTAGAAATTTAATGTTTGCACTATGCTTAAAAGTTTACAAGTGTAATTGATGATAGTTCTGTAAAAAGTATGCAATAACAAGTGATTTCATTTAAATTTTTTATGTTTGCAATATAGGAATAATTTATTTAAGCAAGCATGATGAATGAAATTCGTAATTATCTAACACTTTATACGAACTTTTCCGTGTAGTGCATTATTAAACTGTAAAATAGATTGTAATTGCAAGTAATTAAACTGTCTCTTGCGTTCATAAAGCACATGTAATTTGATATTTATATACAAGTAATTGAGATTGTGATTTTCTTGACACTGAGAAAATGTATTTTATATGCAGTTTGTAAAATTTAAAATTGTTAGATAAAATTAAATTTTTTTGACCCTCTCATATTTATGTTAATTTATGAAAGCATGCATTTATCGTGTATGATGAAACATTGATACAAAAATTAGCAATTTAGTTTTTTTAATGTATATATATATTTGTAATGTCAAAATCTTTTAAGTCAGTGAAAATAAAAATATATTGTCTGACTTAAAAATATATATTGTGTACCATATTTTTGCGATGGGCATATGAAATAAATTGTAGACGAAATCTAATTTGATATTTTCATATTCATAATAGTAAATAGCATTACTGTTTATTTTTGTAACAAGTTTTTGTAATAACAAATAGCATTCATTTTGCAGTATGTCTAAGAATGCATTCATTCATAGTTTATTAAATTTAAAAGAATTTCCTAGATAAAGAGGTTGTTTCTGCAGTTTTTTGTGTAAAAAAAATATAAAGTAAAATAATTTAATTTAGTTTTGTATTTATGGTAAAATAGAAATATTGTTAAAATTTGTGGGGGGAAAAAATTTCATCTCAGTATAATTTAAATTGATCCTTTCACAGAACCTATTAATAAATCATATTCATGTTATAAAGTGATCATATTTCTACACAATTTTATTTTGCTTATTTAAAAAATTTAGTCAAAGTAAATTATTTGATACAACATTATAATTTTGAATTATGTGCTGTTGAAGGCCACTTTATACTATTAAATGACTTACTTTTGTAGTGAAAATTATTCTGAATTATTGCATTCATTTTAATTAATGGCTAATTATTTTTCTATTATCTAGTTATAGCTATTTGTTTCAAATAAAAAGGAAAAAGCAAAAATTTTATTTTGAATAAAAAATCTGTATTTTTTTCTTATATTTATGCATTTCTATTTTTAATATCATTGCAAAGTGGATATATGTCTTCATTTTTTGCAGCATATTTATGATTGTTATTCTACTCAACTACATACAATTTATCTGCACTTATGATGAAATTGTTTCTCAGAAAAGTAAACATATACTGTAAAAGTGTTTTACATACTGTAAGATAACCTTATTCTTGTAATATATGTAACTATATTTTTTCAAAAAGAAGTAGTCTCACTGAACACTGCAAATTTCATACTGATGAGAAATCCTATTCTTGTAGCATAAGAAGAGTATAATAAGAGTTTTTCACAAAAGAGATCTCACTAAGCACAATCTTGTTAATATGGGTGAGAAGCCTTATTCTTGTAATATATGTAATAAGAGTTTTTCACGAACAATTCAACTGACTAGGCACAGCTATGGTCATACAGGTGAAAAGCTTTATTCATGTACTATATGTAATAAAAGATTTTCAGATAAATTTAATTTGGCTCAACATGGTCGTCTTCATACTGATGAGAAACCTTATTCTTGTAGTATATGTGATAAGAGTTTTTTTCGAAGAGGTCATTTGACTCAACATAGTCGTGTTCATACTGGTGAGAAGCCTTTTTCTTGTAGTATATGTAATAAAAGTTTTTCATCTGGAAATATACTGGCTGAACATTATCGTGTTCATACAGGTGAGAAGCCTTATTCTTGTAGTATATGTTATAAGAGATTTTCAGTAAAAAGTAATTTGAATCAACATAGTCGTGTTCATACAAGTGAGAAGCCTTTTTCTTGTAGTATATGTTATGCGTCATTTTCATTCAAATTTAATTTGACTCAACATAGTCGTGTTCATACTGGTGAGAAACCTTATTCTTGTAGTAAATGTAATAAGAAATTTTCAACTAAATCTAATTTGACTCAACATAGTCGTGTTCATACTGGTGAAAAACCTTATTCTTGTAGTATATGTAATAAGGGTTTTTCAAAGAGACGTCTACTGACTAGACACAGTCATGTTCATGCTGGGGAATAAACTTAATTCTTGTAGTATATGTTATAAAAGTTTTCACAAATGGTTCTTTTAAATAAGAACATTTGTGTTCATACTGGTGAAAAACCTTTTTCATGTAATAAGACTTTTTCAAGAAAGGATTACCTAACTCGTCACATTCATGTTCATACTGTGTAGTAGCCATATACTTGTATAAAAAAAGTCTTTTTTTTTACTTAAAACGCATCCAACTTATCATAGTTTTATTCATCCTGGTTAAAACCTGCATTCTTATAACATTGATGTTTGTGTTTGCACTGGTGAGAAGCTTTGTTGTTGTACCATAACGTAATAAGATTTTTTCTCAGAAATGTCATCTGACTAAATACAGTGTTGTTCCTACTAGCGACACAGCATGTCTTTGAAGTATGTGATGAAGTAGTTTTTTTTTTAAATAATAGTGATCTGAATATTTACACTCTTGTTCATAGTGGTTGAGAAACCATATTCTTGTAGCATCTGTAATAAGTCTTTCTTAACAAGAGCTAATCGAACTAATCATTGTTTCATTGACCCAGATGAGAAACCTAATTCTTGTTGCACATGTCAAAAGAAACTTTCTAATTCATACTGGTGCATTTATTTTTGCAGCATATGTAAAAAGTGACTGACTGAACATAGACCATTTCTCACTGAGGAAAATCTTGCTTCCATTATAAGTAAAAACTTTCGCAGAAATGTCATTAGACTTAACACAATTTAATGAAGCTGAAATGTTTTTTTTATTTTCAAAATATTTTAAAATGCAGTTTTTCTGTTTTTACACTTATGTAATGCCTGTAAAATAAGTTCCAATATTGAAAAGTTGTGGATTAAAATTAAAATGCATTCTTGTAAACACATCTTAGTAGAAGTTTTAATGTTGGTTATTGGTTATAAATTGTCTTTTATTCTCTCAGCATTAGAATCCTGAGTTGTTGCTAATGTTTTTTAATAATAATAAACTTAAATAGCAGCCTTTAATTAAAATATCATGTAACATCTTTTATTTAATGAATGTTTTGAAGTAAATTCGATTTAATTGCAGTTATGAAGCATATAGATAAAGTAATATTTGCTTCATAAAATCAATTCCTTGTACTTAAATCTCAACTTTTTCTAAGTCTTCATCATTTTATAAATCTTATATTTATGTTACAGAAATACTACTGTACTGAATATTATGCCGGTTTTTTAAATGATTACTTGACATAAATTTTGTTAATCACATTTGAACGTCTTAGATTGTATAATTTATGAAACTTTTGAAAAAGAACTCAATCTCTTTTGAAAATATCAATGATCTAAATTTATAAGGACATTTAATTTTTTAAATGCGTTATTAATGATTTTACTCAAGAAATTTTCATGATTTTTAAGTTGGACTCAGAATCATCCCTGATTATACTAAACAATTCAAATTCGGCCACTTGCTCTGTTTATGGATTATTTAAAATGCAGTAGCACTATATAGTGATTAAAAATAATATTGATTCTTTTTTTAGGAGGTGGTCTACCTTAAGAGCACTGCTCACCTTTGGGTTACCTAAAGTGATAATAATAAACGAAAAAATTGGAAATAAAAATTAATGGAATGAATATGTTTTGAAATTTTTCTAAAAACGGAGTTTCTCTCGATGTTTAACACAAAAAATTAGTAGGCTTTATTTTAAAATTCTAATAAATTTTTTAATTATAATAAAATATATACTGTATTGTATTATAAATCCCATATTGTATTCACCATTGCAAATAGCATACTAATTTTCTTATCAAATGCTCTTAATTATGAATACTCAAAATTTTTATATAGTATGCTAAAGATACTTATCAGCCGATATCTTTAATACATGTCATTTTTGTTGTTGTTGCTAATCTCGGACTCCCATGAATCCGAACACCTCCAGGAAGTCCATAAAAAGACTGGAGTCTCTTAGGACCTCATCTTTACCGAACCCCAAACAAGTCAGAATATGCTCAGAGGAGGCCATGTCTGTCGAGCACCAATGGCATTCAGGATAGGTTTTTTGAACCCATTTGAAAGATAGGATTATAGTGTGTCCACTCAAGAAGCCTGAAAAGGCTCTCGATCTAAGATTGAAAAATTCACCCGTTTTTTTTTTTTTTTTTTTTTTTTTTTNGCAAAATACCAAGAGTGGTTGGGAGGAGTTCTTATGGTCTTGTTTAATTTCATTTTTGCCAGGGAAGAAATTTCACTAAAGGTAAGCTTCCCACAATGATCAGTGTCTTCTTCGGCAGCGGATTTGGCCTTGGAAGTCAGCCCTCTCATTCCCATCAACTCCAACATGTGAGGGAATCCACTGAAAGTGTATAGAATGGTTGGATGAAAGCCTGTCAAATAGGTCTAAAATATCAAGGCTGGTCTGATCTCCGATAATATCCCAATTAGAGATATGCTGGATTGAGGCACGACTATCGGTCAATATCCAAATATCTTGAAAATGATCTGCCCGAGCAGCAAATTGCAAGCCCTTTCTGTCATGTCATTTTTTCATAACTAATAAACTAAGTTAATTATAATTCAGAAAATAATCCTAATAATTTTTTTCTTGAGAATGTTTATTAACAGATTACTGAATTTTTAAATAAATAATCAATTACATAAGTTTTATGAAACAAACTACTTTGAACAAATTCGAACAGAAAATTATCCATGTAGTCATGAACAATTTAAATTGCATTTTCAAATTTAGGCTTTTTTTTTTTTTTTAATAAAACTTGTAAGTTTCCAAAAATGCATGTTAGATCAGAGGATTTTTTTTCTTAGATTTTACAGTATTTTTGATTTACTGATATTATAGGGTGATATGTTAGTACTTGTAGTTTTATTGTTAAATATTAGTTTTTTAAGGAAACGATTAATTTGTAACGAACTTCCCATCTGAAATTAACAAAGAATACGTTAGCGTGAAAAAAAAGTTGCAATGAAAATTTAACTCGTTAAAAAAATTAAAGTAATATTTATTTTTTTAGATAACTTATCTTTAAACAAAATATACAATAAGCTGAAAATAAAATACAAAATTTTCTAGCTATGAGCTTACACATTTATTTTGGAAAAGACGGATAACATAAATTGGAAATCAAAATAACTTTTAATCGATTATATAGATATTACAATTCAGAACTAGGGAGAACTTCCACTGTATGAAATTGCCAATTTTTTAAACCTACATATGTATACTTAGGGCAATAGGATTGAATGCGAATGGCCTTGTGAATTATCTATAAATATTAATAAAATGTGAAAGAAAAAAATATGAATACTTTGACAGACATCCTAAATATGACTGGATCATTCAAATTTTAAAGAATAAAAATACAACTAAATTAGACAATTATATACACAACACTCATTGGTGAATAAAAAAAAATTTCAGACCTAAATCTATATATATAAGCAAAAAGATATAAAAAATATAGTAAAAAGTGTCAGTTTTCGTTATTTAAACGTAGCAAATAGCAAAAATTTTTATTTATATCTTTTTGATATATTGTATAATATATATATACATAGCTGATCACTGGTTTAGTGGTGTTACTGTACTGGACTACAGAGCCAGTGGTCGTGGGTTCGAATAACACAGTAGGTATAGATGTAACTTTCTCTCTCTCAGTGTGAGCACAAACCCGCCCTGCAAACGGGTTTGTGGTTGTATATGACGTGGACGACGCCACTCCACCGCCGTGGCTTAGTCACAAGTGACCACTGTAACGGTAACTAAAAGAGATACTTCTCTTTTGACAGATAAATATTTCTGTCCCCCAAAACATATGGGGTAGCTGAAGGCTAGGAAAAATAGTACCAATGGTATGGTCAAGAGAGCAGTCCACACTTTGGACACCTTAATGTAAAATTTTACTTTTTGCTTATTTTGTCAATATAATTTTTTTAATTAAATTTTTGCTTTAATTTTAAGCGATTTTAATTTCGCTCCTCCCGCAGTGGAGAGATCGTTAAGGCACGGTTCCCAGCAGATCACCGAAGTCAAGCATTACTGGCTGCGGTCAGTGACCACTTGGATCAGTCTGCGTAGGGACCAAGGGTGTGCGGTATTGGTCCTCGTTAAACTGTTCTACCGCAAAGAGCTCGACTTCGCATACAGGTTGTCGTGCTACCGAAGCGGGGGTGCCATCTCCTCTTCAGAGGATCAAAATTATGATGGCATGTTTTCGGATCAACGCTCAGGGATGTTTCCCAGACCGTCACCAATAGCCCATTGTGAAACTCTAGTGCGACGTAAATGAACTATACTACAACAACAGCTTAATTTTGCTTTAAATTTAGATTGCTAAAAAAAAGTTGAAGTATTTTTTTACTATATCATTCATTATTTATGATGCTCGTTAGTCACTTGGCTACTGACGATATGTGTACTCTTTTAGATAATCAGATGGCAACTCATACATTTCGAGATTGTTATTGTTTTGTTAAGTTTTTTTACAAATTATGTGAAATATAGTTAGCTAATATGAAAAGAGTTTGACTTGTAAAAAGGTTTGTTTATTCAATAACGTATCCAGTAAAATTAATTAACAGTGATTTCTAATCATCTTATATATGTTTGACACACTTTTTTAATGCCTGCTTTTGTGGAAAAAAACAGCTTTACTGTTCTCACACAGTAATCACACGGCTTATTTGTAGTATGCTTTAATTTTATTTATGTGTGCGATTTTTTATTTTATTTTAGTAGTAAACATTTACCTTTTATTTCTTTAAGACTTCATTTTGTGCTTTTTGTAACGTAATTTCTCCCTGTTGCTGATGTCAACAATTTTTCAAAAATCGACTAATATAAATTCAAAGTTAACACCCTGAAAATTTGTTCATAAAATTATTTCCTTTAAGTTTTTAAATAATTAGTTTGGATCAGAAGCTTAAAACTATTTTTTACCTAATTTGGCGTGAAAAATTTATTCTTAAATAGGCTAAAATAACCTCTGCACCCTAATTTAAGAAATTCATGGCTTTGTGAATTTTATTATAAAGGCTGAAATTACATAATGTTATTAGTACAAAATAAGTTGCAAGTGTTTTCTAATTGGTGGTTATATATTAATTAACGAAAGTTTATTGCAAACCTTTAAACCTTAGTTTCATATTGAAAATATAACCTTATTTTGTGCTGTTGATTTTTCTCTCTATGAAAAAAAATTTGTGTTTATAGATATTTATTTATTAAAATAATTATAAAGTAAAAATAAATGATTGTATGCTAAAGCTATAGTATTTCATCATACGCATGTAGTCAAACTAACTTTATACAAATTTATTTTGTTAAAAATATTTAACTCTCAAAAAACTTTTAAAGGGTGTTTGAATTTTTCAACTACCAAAATTAAGAAAAGAATTTTGTATAGGTACCTACCCCAAAGTAATTGCTAAGTTTTGGCGAATTCCGAGCAGCGGCCAATGACGAACTGAAAAAAAAAATCGCAAAAGGAGAAAGGAGGAGAATCTTGAAAAGTTTAACTCATAGCCGACCATTGGAAAACCACAACATATTTTTTTTTTTTTTTTATCAAAAGACTATTTAGTACCTTGGTGAAGGTTGTAGAGAAAAAACAGATACCGATACATAAATATCCCCGAAATTAAAATATTGTGAATAGTTAAGCTTAAAATTAACCTCTCTTGATTCAAAGTTTTTGACAAATAATTTCTAAAAACTTGTTTAATGTTAAAATTTCAAATTTGTTTTACATTTTCAAGGGACTTTAGATGTTTAGACTATGTTTTTATCAATTTGGATACATTTTGCAAGACAACAATTTTTACAACTTCAAGCACTTTATCACAAAACTTTTACGGCAATAAGAATGAATTCTAATATTAATGATATCAAAATTGATTAAAAAACAAAGTGCTAAGCTCAATTTAATTATTAATTTTTAAAAATTATTTTTAGGAAAGAAAACAAAATATTATGATTTAAAAATTCTTTCATGTTATTTAATAGGATTGTGGAAAAGTTTAACAAGTTGTAAAAATGCTACTTTATTTAAATTTGATTTTATTTTTCATGAAATTTATGTTTAAATAGTTATGCATTTGTTTCTATATAAATGAATGTATCTAAAATAGCCTGATCTCTGATGGTTGATTTTTTTTTTTTTTTTTGTATTAGCCGGCAATAAGTTTAGGGTTTTGATTATTAATCAATAACTTAAATAAGTTTCTTGCCAATTATTACCTGTTTTTGATACTCATCCTACCAAAGGCCACTGTATGATAATTAAAATTCCTTAACATTATTTTGATATTATGAAAAAATGAAAAATTTTCTGTAAACACAAAATCTCAATTAAAAAACTGTTTGCAAGTAATTTCTTGACTCTTAAAGTTCAAACCCTTTTGCTGTCATCTAAATTTCATGAAATTTGTTTGAAAATCACAGATTTTTTTTCTTCTTTTAAACGTATCTTACTTTTATAAAACTATTTTGACTCTCATAAATACCAGCATAATTTTTTTTTTAAATTTTAGTAGCTTTTACTATTAGTTATTGACTTACCGTGTTTTACCTTATAGTTAGTTACTTCATACTCTCTATAAAGAGTAATAATTAAAAAAATTCCATGATAGTGATAAATTTTCCACAAACAGCATTCACACATTTATTTATATTATGGATATCTGTTTATCCCATACTGGGATTTATGAATGTCTTCTTTTTTTTAATGATGTGTTGTATCTTACCTATTAACTTTTTAATGTTGATGCTTATCGGCACAATAAACCAGTTTTGGTACTCTTCCATTTTCGGGGGCCATAAAAATAACCAAATCATTATTAATGACAGCTGTGCTTAATTAATTAATAGAATAGTTCCCATTAAGTCCCTATTACCATATTTTATTAAGCATCAATGACACATATTAATTTGAAAATCTTTTGCTACCTCTATACATGGAATAGATGGATGGTTATTAACTTTAATATTGAATGACGTTACTATGCATGATTAGAAAAGTTTGCCCAAAATCTTTACATGCTCAAAACGCCTGGGAACTGCAAGACGTTCCTGTAAGGTGTCTGTTAAATTTCATCTCGCTATAGGGCTTTCATGGTAATCATGGGGTTCGGGTACAATAGACCTCTGGTCGACGTGCCTTGCTCGTCAGAGGTGCCCAATCTTTAAATCTTACATGCTCAAAGCAAACTGTTTGATATTCTTAATTTTTAGTATAAGCCTTGTGAACTTTCATACAATTGCAATTTTGATATAAAGTTAGATTTTTGTCATATTTCTATTTCATTTATGTCATAACAAAGAATCAATATGAATTTGTAAAACATATTTTCCCTAAGAAAAATGTGTATTAATTTTAATTTTTTTATTTTTGTCCAGGGTTTTCCGGAACATAGATTTGAAAGTTAAAAATGGCTGAATCGAAAGGAAATGATTCTTCCTCTAAAGTAAAAATTTGATTTGTCTGTACTATTGTTGTGTAGTTGCGCACTTATATATCAAGTTCTATATTTATGTTGTTTTACATGCTGAGAAAGTATTTTTGAAGTGTAGCTTATGTTTTTGTTAATTTATTTATGATTATAATATATTTAGATTGTAAATATAAGTGAACCAAATTTGGTCTTATTGTATAGAAATAATTTTACTCTGTAAATTTGCTAATAATTTACAAAATATATTAATATGTTTTGTATGTTAGAAAGATACCTTGTACTATTTCCAATTGTAAATGGAAAGTGGATTTTTTCTTCAAAAAGTTTCCCAAAGCTAAGACTGCATGCAAATGGTATTGTGAAATATGGTATACAAACTTTTCACTATTAGCAATCAGTAACTAAATGAGTGGTAGTGAGGATGATTTTGTGTGCGAGAAGATCATATATTCTAATACGAGAAGTACTAAAAGTTATGATAGGCATCCAAACTCTTCTATGAGTAATTATAAGTATTCTGAAACAAATTTTAACATAGACTTCAAAGGAATATTTTTTCTAAAAAAAAGATCATATATTCTGATATGAAAAGTACTAAAAGTTATGATAGGCATCCAAACTCTTCTATGAGTAAAAATAAGTATTCTGAAACAAATTTTAACATAGACTTCAAAGAATTTTTTTTCTTAAAAAAAGATCATATATTCTGATACGAAAAGTACTAAAAGTTACGATAGGCATCCTAACTCTTCTATGAATAAAAATAAGTATTCCGAAACAAATTTTGACTTAGACTTCAAAGGAATTTTTTTTTTCTTTGTATAAGTAAGGTTAAAAAAAAAAGTACTTTCCTTTTTTTAAAAAAAAAAATTCTTATGGGCTACAGAGATGAAAATAATCGAATATTTTTTGAGTGCTTATTTTTTGTTGACAAATCTGGCTATGGACCCTGTAGCCATTATTATCTAAAATATTGTATTTAATTATGTTTCACACTAAATTAATATGGATCAATTTAAAGCTAAACATTTTGCATTGTTTTTTTAATCATTTATTTATAGTCCACTGAAAGATGTCAATCTCTTTCTTTTTAGAATCAGAAGATGAAATCTTTTAATATATATCCTGTAGGAGTTAAAGGTCCTAAACCACCAGAAGTAGACAAATCTAAAGTTCCCAAACTTAAATGCTCTGTAAGTACATATCTTATGCATATTGCATTTAAATAAAATATATTTTTCTAAATAGTCAATTATTTCTTGTGACAAAAACTTAAATAAAACTTATTTGGGGTAATGACTGCTTCAGTTATAAATTCAAGGCCGATTGAATATTGGAAACTTTGTTAATGCTGTCAGATGTCATTCCTTATATTATAACTGCTACACTAAGTTAAAAAAAATTACTCTGTTTTGTTTAGCAGACATTAAAAAGTGTTACTCTTGCATGTTTTGTATTGCATTACATACACTGGTTTTTATAACATATCATTTATAGGGTCAAGTATTTTGATGATCTGCTTGCCCCTGAGAGTACACCTGACTAATTTTATCTGGTTTTATTTTTTAAACTTTTGGTTTACTGGTTTTAATATTTGCTTTTAGTATTTTACCTTGAATCTTGACCTTGGTGAACTTCAGCACCCTCTGTCTTACCTGGTGTTATCTTTGAGTGTTTCTCCTTTTTAGAGAAACTAAGGTTTACCTTTGAACATTTTTAATCTTAGAGGCACTTAGCCTTGAAAGGGGGATACTTGAACTTTTAGTCAACTATTTTAATTATTGTATTAATCTTATTTTAGTCTTATTTGTATTTAATGTGATTTTTCATATTTTTACCATTTGATATTTTACCTGACCTTTTATGTGTTTTTACCTGTATTTTCGACGCTTTTATTGTTGGTTAATTTTATTCACTTAGATGTTTTAAGCACTTTTAATTTTTATTCTGTTTTATTTTTATCATCTTTTCGATTTTGGGATTTTTCCTATGTGCTATCAATCTTTTTAGTTTTGATTTTACTTTCTGTAGTTTTGTAGTGTTTAGTTCACGTGACAGTGGGTGAGGTCGGTTACTATTAGTCTTATAGGGTCAGGTAGGGTACAGTGGGTATAAAATTAGCTTTTTTAAAAGAAAGCTGCTTAACCAAACCATTAAATTTGTTTAACTGTAAATTTTGATACATTTTATATACATTGGATTCATATAGATTAAATATGAAGCATAACTTATCCATTTTGTTTGATTATTTTCTTACAATAATGCATTCAAAAGAACATGTTTTGATATACCCTGGGGTAAAGTGGGTGTAGTTCTGAAATTAGTTTATATTTCACTAAAAAACATGTACAAATATTGTTTTAGAAATAACAATGCTCTTAAATAAATGTATCATGATATTTTTAAAAAAATGCTTTAAAAAATTTTATCATATTATTAAATTAAAGAGTTAATGTACATGGCTATCAAAATTAGGTTTCACTTTGAATGCAGTATATATTGCTGAACTCTACATTGTGGCTACTAAATACTGTAACTCTCTAAAAAATAAGAATTAATTGTATAGTAAAACAATTACTCTCTCACTACTTCTGTGAGTGACACTTTCTATAAGTGCAGACGATTTTTGTGTTGTGTAAAGTTAAATATTTAGAATTAGTTTAAAGAAGGATCGTGAATTTTATGCTATTTCTTTTCGATTGCAAATTTTCTGCAGGTAGAATCTTTAAGTAATTAAAACCTCTTGGGTTTAATGGAACATTAATAGATGAAACTATAAATCGATAATTAGATACTAATAGCTGTAAAGATCGACCCAGGACTGGTCGTCCGCTCTCAATTAGTACAAAAGAGCACATTAATAGAATTAGTGAAAAAATTGAAGAAATCTACAACATTCTGCTTATAAAATGGCAGTTGAAAAAAATGTGAGTCAGAGAGCTACGCAAATTATATTAAATGAAGACCTAGATTTTTCCTAGGAAGACCTTAGGATGATTGTCCACTTCCATATGTCACAATTGGTCTAATAATAGTTTTATGAAGTCACATTTTTAAAGATTTTATAAGCAGCTGATTTTTCAAAAGAGTAACAGCTTAAAAAGTATAACTCGTTTCCTTAAAGAATTTTTGCATGTATTTCTTTGGAGTTACTTCCTAAATCGGTAATGATGGAGCCAAGGTAGATGAAACCATGCACTCTTTCAAAATCAAAATGATCTGCAGTAAGCTTTGTTATCTGATCATTTGCAGATTTACATTTTTCCGTGTACTAAGTTTTTACAACATTAATTCCCATCTCCTCTGCCGCTCTAAATTGAATTTAGTTACTTTAAAGAAATTGTTTTGTATTACAGAAAGCAGAAACTTGCATGAAAAGTCATCTTTATCTTAAATATGCTCAATAAGTTGTACCATTATGCAATTTTTTTCATTTTTCTAATTGTATAATATGTTATTGTTATTCCCTCTATCATTCTTCGCTTTAAAAAAATAAAATTTAAAGGAATTTTTTTTAAACATTAAAATAACTATGTTCATGTTCATGTATCAAACAAGTTTATTATTTTTTAGCTGTTTTATTATAAAATATAGAGCATTAGAAACTTATGAGAGCTAAAACACTAAAAAAATAATAATAATAATAATAAATTAAAATAAAAAAATACCCCTATCATACAGCACTTATCTGAGCCTAACCATATACCCACTTTACCCTGCCTCAGAAAACAATTCTTAATAAATAGAATTTTAAAATTAATTCTTAAATTTTCTTGTTAATCTGTTCTTTAGATATCTCTCTACCAGTTTGAACTTAATCTAATAGTTTTTTGACACTTTTTAAAGATATTCAAAGAAAGTTCATCTACAGTTTAAACTAACATACTTTATGAGTTAATCATAAACAGATAGGTAGTTTGTAAACATAAAATTTTTTTATCAGTCTCCAAAATTGAAATAAAAATGCCTGCCAGAAATCCGTAAATGTCTCTTAAAATATTAAATAAATTATAAGAACTTAAGAGCAGAAAATATATATTTTTTAACATATACTACTTTACCCCATGTACCTACTTTATCTCAAGTGACCCTATAAAATTTGCAAATTATGGATTATTTTATGTCACAGCATCATGATTATAGCAGTTTTAATGACCAATAGTTTCTTGATTGAAGACATTGTACAGATGGTGATTTAAATTTTAATGAACTTCCATCACAACTTAATTGCATTTTTTATCATGTACGACGCAATAAAAAAGGTAAAATATTTTAAATTTTTTTTTTTTTTATAGGAAGAAGAAAAAGCTGCAGCTGAAGTCTATGAAGAATTTTTGGCATCATTTGATGAACCAGTAAAACATGGCAAACTTTTTGTTAGAGGAACTGTCATTAATGCAGGTTCTGGAGGTCAGTAATGAACAAATGTTTTTATTACTTTTGTTATTACTTTTATTGTAATTGCTTTTGTTGTTGTATCTCGAGAGTTAGAAATAAATTATATTTTTAGAAGAGAAGCCTACTGTTCAAACTGGAAAATTATATAAGCCCCCAAAAATAGCAGAAAATATTAAAAAACCTGAAGAAAAACCAGAAACTGCAAAAGAAAAAGCAGAAAGAATAGAACGTCAGGTATGATTTTAATCTTTTTTATTTATTTATTATTTCTTTCTATTTTTACATAGTTTATATCTTTCTTGCCATAAGAAAAGACAGTAATAGTAAATTTAAAACATTTTATTGTAAATATAAAAGATATAATATTGTAGTGTCAAAAGTAGTATTTCTTTATTATTAGTAGCTTTGATGTTGTTTGTATTCTTTATATCCATATAATTAATCGTCAAATTAGTACTCAAATAAATTTGTGCAAAATTATGCTAACAGTTCTATGTTGACTTAATAGATGCAGAATTTCTTACACTTCTGACTCTCGCATTTTAGAAAGTTTTAGGTGTAAAATATAAAATGTTGCTCATCAAAAGTTTGTTAACATTTTGAAAGAGCAACAAAACGTTGCTCATTTCTTTTTTTGTTGCTCAGTTGCTCTTCTTGAATTGTTGCTCATTTTTTTAGCTCATTTTAATGTTGCTCATTTTTAGCATTTAGTTTGATGCACATTTTGTAATAAAAATATTATTGATGCAGACATTAATTGTTGCGTTCTGTAAAGTCTAAGTTGAGTAAAAAAAAAATTTTCGTACTATATAATTCATATATATATATGTAAAATGTTGCAGTCGGACCGAGCAGGAAAACAGACACAGGATTTTAATTAAATCAGAGTAACTTTTATTTGAACATTCTTAGTTGAGTGAGAGCGAAGAAGTGATGTTTACTCCATCAGCAAACAGTCTTTCTGGTAGGGAAAATCTTGCAAAAAAATCCTAAAATGTCTCTATTTAGGGAAAAGAGGGAAATCTCAGAACTTACAATTGGTTAATGAACTTGCTCGAGTGATTCCCACGGCTTAAAAGGGGAAAAAAGATCTTTATTTAAATGTATGCATACTTTGGCAAAAATAGATTTAGAAACAGGATGTGGCTTTTAAAAGTGTGAGAAAGTATTTCAAATAGAATAATTAATTAGTAATAAAGTAGGAGTTGTTTTATAGCAAAGAAACTAACATAAAAAGATTAATAAAAGCTTTTTATGTTACATATATATATACACTTTTAGAGTCATTAAATCATAAAGTTTTATTTTTTTCTTCTTGATTTAATTAATATAGTAACTGATCAAAAATGTTCCATTTATAAAAAGTTGATAGGTATAGATTTTTTAGAATTTTATGACCATGCAATCCATTTTTAAAGGGAAAAAATCTTTTTAGTTTATTTTATTAAGAGAACTGTAGTTATTTATTTAGAGTTTTAAAGGTTTCTCCTTCGTCTCTTTACTTTCGCTTATATTATATACTTTTCACCATTTCTATATCAAAATAACCTCTTTTTCTTTAAAAAGGGGGTGAATAAATATAGTGCAGTGTTTTTTTTTTTTTTTCACATATTGTAATCCAAATTTTGGTCAGTTTTTATGATATATTATACAAACAGTTGAAACAGAAATTTCGAACCACTTTTACAAATATTAGCTAAATTTTTAAGTATTTCCAGTTTACAACAAATCTATCCATTTCAATATCTCGGTGTTTTGTCAGAAATTTAAGCAGTGGTGATCAAGAATTATTTAAACAAAATAATAATGATTGTATTTATTTCTAAAATAATGTAGAAAGTAAACTTACTTTTAAAAAAAAAATTGAGTTTTAGTATTATTTTACATTTTTAAACTTTTTTCTTATAAAGAATAAGAAAAAGGAGAAAGAGAAAAAGAAAAGCAATCTTGAATTATTTAAAGAAGAACTGCGGATGTAAGTAGCATGCCAAGTTTATTTCCATGCATTAGTCTCTAATATAAAAATTTAAAATCAAATTTGTATCGTTTAGGATTCAAGAGGAAAGAGAAGAAAGACATCGGCTGAAAAACATTGTTAAGGAGCAAGTTAAAGTTGGCCGACCTGTTGAGCCTGTTGAAACACAAATTAGACTGGGTAAAACTTGGATATTTTTCTTTCTTTCTTATTAAATTTTTGAAATTGCCTTATCTAACATTTGAACTTTGTGTAGTTATTTAGGTAAAAGAAGCTTGTGTCCATTGATTTTCTTATTTTTCTATTTTAGCTGATGATTACCGGTATCCTTCATATGGATCATATGATACTGGAGATCCTAGTACAACTAATCTTTATTTAGGAAACTTAAATCCAAAGGTATTTATGTATATTATATATAAGTTATTTGCCTTAATTTATGCTATTTATAAATATAATTGTTATAAGTACTCATCCTTCTGTACATTTATTCATACAGTTAAAAGTACTGTATATGATTATTCAATGCTATAAATTGTATTTATATATGCAATAGAAATCTGAATATCAGGATTCTACTTAGACTGAATTTTATAATTATAAATCTGTTTTGTAGTTCTGCAAAAATATTTTCTTAAAAGCATTTCACTTGAGCGACAAGTCACAATCTCTGCATCAAATGTGTACTTTAAATAATTTATATAAAGTGGATGACACACATGCAATGAAATCATCGACAAAAAAAATTTTTTGTCATTAAATTATTTTTAAAATCAAAATATTTCTTGAAAATATATCATTAATCACTTTGATTCCAAAATACTTAATAGGAACATAAATATTACTATATGATAAGCAACATAATTTTCTTTGCTGTCTTATCTTGTTAAGCAATAGTTGCAATACATTTTTTTACCCTTTTGAATTATCTAAAACATTTTGTAAAAAGAGATCTTTGCAATTTTTTTTTCTCCAAATTTATCTTTTAAATATGGTTAATTTCATTTGAATTTTAGATGACAGAACAGCAATTATGTGAAGTATTTGGCAGATTTGGTCCCCTTGCTAGTGTTAAAATTATGTGGCCCCGTTCTGATGAAGAGAGAGCAAGGGGGAGAAATTGTGGTTTTGTTGCATTTATGAACAGAAAAGATGGAGAAAGAGCCATGAAAAACTTGAATGGTAATTATCACAGAAATTAAAATTTTTTTGCTTTTAATAAATTAAGTGTTCTAGTGTATACTAATTTTGTTTTTGTATAAATATGCATTTTAATAATAAAAAATTTATTCAATCAAAAATAAGTTATTTTTTAATTATGCCCAAATTTTGCAGTATTAATCATTAGGCATATAACTACTGAAAAAACATTCTGCAATAAAAATTTTAAAATTTCAATTATTACCAGTTTTAACCCACCTTATACCAATTTTATTCCATCTGTGAATGTAAATTGATAGTTAAAATGTTTATTACTTTTTAAATAATACAATCTTATTTTTCCAAGGTGATTCACTTTAGTGTGTACAGTATTTAAGAGATAAACTAATACTTAGCAGCCTAGAGTATGGGTTGCTAGTGCCAAGGGCAATCAAAAATTTAAGTCATCAAATCAAATGATTACATGTAAAGTGTACAGAATTTTAAGAAATTTTGTTAAATAGTGAACAAGTTTCGAATATTTTCAATGATTTTAAATATACTTTAGAGTTATTTTAATTTTGTTAATTTTCTTTTTGAGACATTTAATGATTAATTCTATTTAGTTCTTTTGATGAAACATAATATATATATAACATAATAGTGAATAATCAATAAATGTATAATCAATTTTTAATTGTAGGAAAAGACATCATGAGTTTTGAAATGAAACTTGGTTGGGGTAAAGCTGTACCTATACCTCCCCATCCTATTTATATTCCTCCTGCAATGGTTGAGTTCACTCTCCCACCACCACCATCTGGTCTACCATTTAATGCTCAATTAGATAAAAAAGATCGTCATAAACTTTGGCCTGGAGAGCCAGAAACTAAAGAGTCTTTTGAGAAGGTAAACAAATAATTATTTGTGTAATTTTTGAACATAAGTATATATATAAAGATCTGACCAAAAAGATTTTATTTACACTTATAATATTTCTAAATCATACATATTGAAACAATTGTGTTGGTTTTATATGTTATTCAAATTTGAGATTTCATTAATATATATTTTTTAAATTTACATATTGAAATAAATAATTATTTTCTTTTGTTTATCTCATGAAAAGAAATATACTTGCCCTTTCAGTTATTTTATTACCTGTATTTTGTTTCCAAATAACTTTTGCTGTTTTAAAATTTCAACAGTTTTGAGTTTTCAAAGCATTATTTGCTTTTTTAGGCATTATGTAGTGATTTATGAGACATTTTAATGAAATAAATTTGCATTTACAAGTCTCTGCTTAAATAAAATATTGTTCATTGTGAAATATTTTATTGTTGAAACCAAAACTACTTCCATATTTAAGATTTTCCACACTAAGCTTATGTGTATTTTTTGTTTTCCTAAGATGTTATTCCATTACTGAAAGAAAGAAAAACAATTTGTTAATGTCTATTTTAATAAGACTGAAACTTGTTACGATCATCTGGAATGCAATATATACTTAAATTTAACAAAGATAGTGAGAATGTTCCTGTATATGTCATTAATCATTAGTAAAAGTACTTTAATTCATGGCATCTTTGCTTGATCAGTTAATTTGTTTTCCACATAACATCTGAAATTTTCCTAATTTTAAATTGATTTTTTTCTTACAAAAAATATATGACTTCGATAAAAAAAATACATATATTTGTTGCTAGGATTCAAGAATTACTTACTCAAGGTGCTTGTACAGAAAATTTGTTGTTAATAGTTACTCTTTGGTGTAGTATTTGCTCATCAATATCATCTAGTGTTTTATTGTTCACTATTGACAAGTAGTGCTTTAGCTTTTTTTATTACTTAAGCCTTTTGATGCTTTTTTATGGACTTTTTACCAGAACTGAAATTTAGTTTCAAGTTCAGCTATCAAATTGAAAATGTTCATATTTTATAAAATAGACTATTGATATCTGAAAAAGTTATATGATTCAATTACTTGAAAACAATCTCCCAGAAGTATGTTTAAGTAATGTCTTACTTGGTTTCTTGAAACATATTTTGTTTAAAACCAGGCATATAGAATATATATAATATCCTGACAATCATATTCCAATAAGGTTTAAAATTTGTGTGAGAAGCAATTTTTGTTTTTATATGAAAATTTTTATTTTAGTTTACAATAAGGTGTTGAATAGTGAAACCAACTCTTATTTATTTTATGTTTTTAGTAACACTTCTTTCGCAGCTATTTCTCCCTTAACATAGTTATAAACAAATAGGTTCATGTAATAAAGTTTAGTTTTTTTCGATTGTGGATAATATGCATATTTTGGGTGCATAGTTGTCTGCTTTTGTTCCAACAAAATGTGTATTTTTCTGTTTATATTGAAATTAAGATAACTTTAATTCAGATTTAATGTGAACATAATCAAACATGTTAATGGTAGTATCTTTCTGGTCAGTTCTTTATCTATAGTGGGTATATATTAAATACATTTAAGTTTCAAAAATTAGAGTTTCATAAAATTATCAAATTATTTTCTGTTCAGGTCTTGTACGAATGTGATTTTTGTAATAAAATAAGAATAATAGTGTAATGATTTTAAAAAGATAACTTTATGAAATGTTAAGTTCATAACCTAATTTTTAAAAGCAAAATTTTATAAAAAGTTTCCATTTGAATTCTTTCGGAATAATGTATATATAACCAAAAGTAAATCTTTGGACTATGAATCTTAAAAATTTACTTTTTATATATGTTAAACCAATCCAAGTATTATAAATTCATATTACTAAATACATAATAAAAAGAATTAAAAGAAATATTTAAAAAAAAGTGGTATCAATACTGCGATCTAAATTTCAATTATACTCGTGGTGTTTGTATTCGTTATGTACTGCTAATCATGAGAAAATGTTTTATTTTCTCAAATGCAAACAACTAAGTAAATCAATTCACACAATGTCTTCTGGATGGGAAGAAAGAGAGAATAACTACCAGGAAAAAAGGTTTTTCCCATTGGCTTTCTGTTAGCTAATCACCTCTTATTACATTACTCATTCAAGTTGGTCTTTTCTTACATACATTTTTATCTTAATAGTTAAGACGAAAATCCGTTGAACCAAGTTTTTAGCTTTTTGCTGAGTTTTATTAAGATTAATTAGTGGATTATAATAGTTTTAGATTTATACACTGTGTGTGATGCCAATTCATTCTAAATAATACAATATGCATGCTAATAGAAATTTATTTCTTGAAAATATCAAATTTATTCAAAATTGAGTTTTTATAGTCTCTACTATCATTTTCTTTTTCATTAAAGGACTTGTGTAAAAATTTGCAAAATTATTGCATGTCTATCAATATCCAACTTTCAATAAATACATGAGCTGAGTTTGGTTATTATTTCTAACAGTATTTCATAAAAATTTCATTTTAAAATTCAATTATTACTTTATTGAAATTTAGTAAAAAAAAATTTCTAAACTTAACGAGATAGTTGTTTTATTTTGACGATTTCTTCCTTGTTTGCATTACAAATTTTATTAAAAACTTGTTCAAAGTCTGTGGATATTTTTTAATTTTATATTCAATAAATTTCTATTCACTGTTTTTTTTTCTTCAGTTTTTCAAAGAATTTTTAATTGTACTTCATTATCAATTAAAACATAAATTTCAATTTCTCTTAATCATCCATTTTTTTTATAGCTTTAAAAAGTTTTTGAATTTTTTCATACAATTGTTTTTCAGATTTTAAAACATTTTGTCAGTTCCTTATTTTAAAGAGTTTTATTAATATCTGAAACATTATGTTTCTTATGTTGGAAATGTACTTTCCAAACAAATAATTTTATTAAAATATTTTTCATGTGCAATCAGAACTGATTCAGATACTATTTACATTTCACAATAGAATCCTCTTTAGAATAATTCACTATTCTTATTCTCATGTATCATGTTTAGAAATCTTTTAATTTTCATGTCTAGAATAGTTATTTTAGCATTGATCTGCAGCTGATCGATTGTGGCAGCAGCCTTCTTTTTCATTTTTAAAATCATAATTGAGTATATAATTCGCTACTGTTAAAATTCCATTAGAATTATGGCAACCAAGCCAATCATTATATGCTACAAAATGTTATGTGTGAGAAGTGAGATCATCCAAAACTAAAAATAAGAAATTCAAATTTCTGTGAAAGATGTGCTTCCCTTGAGCAATGTTTAAAAACTTGAGATTATCCGAAAATATCAAATAAAACACAAAAATACAGGTGTTAAAAAATTTTATTACGTAATTGTTTTTTTTTTTTTTTTTCGTCTCTTAATAAATATGAACAACACAGTTTTGCTAAAAAAATTAATTAATTTTGTTTAGTATAATAATAAGTGAAAAAGAGTTCTCTGACAATTAACATTTTCATTCATTTTAAAGTTAGCATTATGACATTTGTGTCATATTTTTAAGTTGAGATTATACTATTATGACTTTTTTGTTCTTAACACTTGACTTTTATGGAAAAGGAGTGATTTATATAATCTAACTAAATAACAATACTTATATATTTTTGTTTTTTTCCATCATTTTTTTTCCGATACTAAATAAAATTTAATTTAAAATTTGTTTTCAGTTGTTTAGAGGATACTGTCAAAAGATTTTATGTTCAACTAATTTCTAATTCTTAAAGGGGGGATTTATGTTCAACTAATTTCTAATTCTTAAAGGGAGGGATTTATGTTCAACTAATTTCTAATTCTTAAAGGGGGATTTATGTTCAGCTAATTTCTAATTCTTAAAGGGGGGGGGGGAATCCTTTTTAACATAATCCTAAATTTTGTAAGGTTTATAGAACACTTTTAAATAAAGGATTTACTTTATTTTAATTATGATAGTTTCTGTTTGGTGAAAATTAATTATTTAGATTAGTTACTATAACTTTTTATAATTAAATATCTTTTTCTTATTTGTTTATTATATTATGTTCATTATATTGCTTTTCTTAATAATAATCGATATCTATTCTTACTTTGTTCGGTGTCGACATCTTCTGCAGCTTTTAGCGAATGCTGTTGTCAAAGTGGTAATCCCTACCGAAAGGTATATATTTTTCAGTGCTTTCTTTCATAACAGTTGCCTACCTAATATATTTTATTTCCAAAATTTTCTTGAGCGAAGCAAATTTGCTGTTTTATAAGAAACAGGAATGGATGTGAATGACTTGAATCCTAAAGTCGGTATATTTGAACTAAACATTTTATTTACTTTCCTCTGATGTTTCTTACACAATACAACAGAATTGTTATTTTTAAAAGTGAATTTCAATATTTAAAAATATTTCTGCAGTAAAGAGTTAATTATAATGTTAAAACTTGCTTTTTATACTGTTACTTATTCATTTACTTTAGTAGTGGTATTACTATATTGATTGAAATATAAATTGCCTTAAAAGTGATTGCCTTATACAAAAAATGAAAAAATTTATTAATTTCAAAATTTGGATTTGTATTATTTTCCGTTTTTATTTGTAATTCATATTTCCAATGGGCTTTCTAGTTTTTGTGGCTGTATATATTAGTCTATTATAAATAATTGTTTGCTAAAAAGTGTAGAAATACCACTTGAAGGTTTTTCATAATGCTATTAAAACATTTGTATGATTTTATTTTCTTATTTATTTTTCCCTAAAAAACATTCTACAGTGTTTAATTACTGTTGTATTCAACCATAAAGGAAATAAAGAATTTTTTACACTTACTCTGTTACTTGGTAAATGAGGACAATTGAACAGATTTTTCCACTAAATCATAATATGTTGGAAAAAATTCCCCCTAAACTTTGCAGAGTGTTCAAAGTTTAAACTTCACTGATGAGCAGAATTTAAGTGCAATAATCATCCATATATGTACTAGTATTTGGTGTTTATTTTGAAACACTTCCTTTTGCAAGGAAATTTTCAACGTTAAAATTGTCTTCTAGTTTTGTAGATCTTGATCAAGGCTTTTTAAAACTGTGTCATTTGTCTCAAATAAAACTTTTTGCATGCTGCAACGCTAAATAAAATTGAAAGGATTTGTTTTAGTTGTAATTCTAAAAATATTAATTCACTTAAAAAAAATTAGGGAATAAAATGTGGGGAAACTCAATGGAGAAAAAAGGTTAAACATAGAACTTCATAGATTATTATATAAATACATAATAAAGTATAGTGCTATCTAAAGGTTAAAATGGGCAGGACAATTGACAAAAATGAATAATACTCAAACCACAAAGAAAGAACTTTTTGGCTAAGGTCTCCTCTAGAAAACAAAAGATCAAGACTTAAGTGGTCCAATTGCTTAGAAAATGACTTAAAAACTGTAAAAGTACTAAATTGGAAATCATTTGCCAAGAACAGGACAACTTGGAATAAAATTCTGTGAAAGGGCAGAGCCCACCTGGGGCTGTTGTGCCAGTGAGGAGAGAAAGAAACTGATATAAATTGACAAAATATTTTTAAAAAATTTCAGTGTGATGTGTGTAGTTTTATAGCCTTTTTCTTTAATTCAAGTAACAAACAATCAATTGAAAGGCAGATAACTGAAATATGTTATTATATTCAATTATTGTTTTAAAATTTATATGTTGGATATTTGAGGTTAAAAAATAAGCATAAATGTAAATTATTGCCTTTTTCATTTCATATTGAAAAATTTTCTTTGTTAGCAAAGAGAAATAAAGGTGTGTAAGCATAAGTAATATGTGTTGATAAAATTTTTATTTACTGGCAACCAAGCATAGAGGCATTTATAACATGTTATTAAAAATTTTAAAGTTTGATACCTATCATATGTCATCTGTATGTGACAAACACCGAAGTGGTATTGTTTCTAAATGAGAAGTTTTCTTTATTTTTATTCAGTATTTTTAATGAATGCAATAATTTTCTATTTACTTCATAAATCCAGTACAATTTTACATGAAAACAAATTTTGGTATTTATTGTAACTAATTTATGTATTATTTCTTTCAATAACTTAGAACATTTAAGTTTGCAATCTGTGTGCATTGACTGTCATTAATTGAATCACTGGATTATGAAGTCAACCGCTTTTTACAATCAAATCTTCAAAAAACGGAATTATTACAATATCAAAACATGCTAAAATCTCCCCTTTTCTTAAAATCGATCACCTTTTTTGTAAAATCATATTTTTAGGTATGCTTAAAATAATTAAAAATTCTTTTGCTTGTCTGAATAATTAGAATTTTTTCTTTTCTCAAGTTTTGAAAGCATGTAAATAACAAATTTCATTGTTCCCCCTACAAATAATAAAGTTACAGGTGTGGATTGCACTTCTTATGGAAATTAAAAGATAAATTAAAAATAAGAAATTAAAAATAATGAAGCAGGTTGTGTAAAGAAAACAAAATGAAAACTGTTCATGTTTTATGAAAAGGGTTAGAATGCCTATCATTCAATGACAATGATGAGCACTCATTCACTAAGGTAAATCTGTCTTCAATAGATGTCAGAAAATGCTTTATACTTTTAAACAAACTTTGCAGCAAAGAAAAGAAAATATTGTTAGTTACAAAATAATTTTTTTAAACTTTCAAACCATGTTGAATATTTAATTTTAAACTTAAATTATCAAACAAATATACTAATATTTTAAAGTGAACAAAAAAGGAAAAATTTCATAAGTATAAACATTTTAGTTTATAAAATTAGTACTTTTATAAAGTCAAATGCTTTCAGAATGGCCGTTATTTTAATAGGCGGCTCCACTGTGCTATCAAAATGCATATAGTTTCAGACTGCGTGCAAGCATGGTGCTTAAACACTACACACTTAAGATTCATGTACGCTTACAAAATTGATCTAACAGAAACTTACAGAAGCTATTTTAGGGTTAGCAGATAGTGAGTTGTGGTGGGAAACCCCTAGCATTTTTAAATTTTTCTAATGTGTACAATATCCTATTTAGTGTTATATGATAGTTTTGACAGAAATTTCACAATTTCCAAAAATTTTTATGGAGTTCTTTTAAAATTTTGTTGCAGTTTTATAGTTGTGTCTGCCGTGTGAAGTGATATAGTATCAAGTTAAAAAATTTCAGAAATAAACATGAGCTAATATAAGCATTTTACAACTCATTCAAATAGTGCTATAATATGTTAGTAATTATCCATTTGGGGGGGGGAAGCTAAAAAAAACTTCCATCTATATTAGGTATCTATATTAGTATAATAGGTACCTAGTACCACAATAGTAATGCTTGTCACCACAATTAATTAATCATAACTGGTTGATGATTCTTTTTTGCGGCTCACAGAAGTGGACCGGTACCAATTTTTTTACTTAAGCTGCAAAATATTTGAAGCTTAATATAACTTTTTTAAAAAAAGTACTTATAAAATGTAAAAGAAAATTTTTTTAACAAAAAGTACTATTGCTGTACAGAAATGATTGATTTCATTTAGACTTTTTAATATTTTTTTTCCCTTTTATATTTTAAAAGAATGCTTAAATACATATATGAACTATCAGATATTTTTAAATTCATAAAATTCAGAGAGACAAATTGAGTGAAAATGAAAGAGGATAATATTAGAAGAATTTTTTTCCTCAAGCTGTAGTATTCTATATCTTTAAGCAGATAATAGCTTTGGTATGTTGAGTACCTTGAGAAAAAAACTTAGTAGTATTAAATATTGTAAACTGGAGAATTATTACCAACAAAATATCGGAAACAACTTAAGAAAACCAGGATCTACAAAGGGCTGCAGAACTACTAATGATGCACTAGTAGTTTGTGAACCAATAAAATTAAATTTCCTAAAACCTATGTGTATTATGCTTCTTGTTATAGTTTTCCTCTGCTGTAACCCAGTGTATTTATAATTATTTGTTACTGTCAAACTTCAATTTTTAAATCTGTTTATATGCTTGAAATTTGATGCAGTATTTGCCAAGTTGAGTAAAACTAGTAATTTGAAAGTGGAACATTGAAACATAATTTTTGCCAGTAAATTCTAAAAATTAATTATTATTGTTAAAGGAATATTAGCAGCATAAAAACCTTATTTTCCATGTTATATATTTATAAATAGTTTATTATAATATATTTCATTTTGCATGTTCTTTATATAAAGTCATTAAATATTTGGAATTGTTGAATTATATATTTAATTTATTAAAGTTTAAACAATCAGTAGTTCCATTTTTAGGCTTCTTTTTTTTTTTTCCTTATTAGTTCTTTTAAAACGTATCTGTCAAGTGTGCTTCTATCTAGCCTTTTTAACTCTTTTAAGTGCACTGAAAATTTTAGATTATTATTAACTATTTTATTGTTATTCTATCCTTTTTATGATTTTATCTCTTTTTTTTATTTTTTTTTATTTTTTATACACATTTTAGAACGTTACATTACAAACAAAATGTAATGAGAAACTATGGGTATCTGTGTACTAATTGTCAGATAATTTTTCCATACCTTTGAAATTGTTAAAATGTTAAATGTTTTGTGTGTTCTGTTATTATCAATGTCATTTTCATGTACTCTAATTGATTGATATTTCCTAAGGTTAAAAGCATAGGAAAATATGCTAAAGTTAGCTTTTTAAATTTCCTGTACACTTACTACGTACTGAAATATATTGACATATAATACAGCAATAAATATTTTGATCTACTGTACCTTATTATTTTACTAGAGGAAAAATTTATAATCAAATTAGAAATTTATTATTAGTTTTAAAGATAAGAAATTAAATTTTTAAAAAAAAATTTTTAATGATATTCCTTTCATTAACCCTTTCGCGACGGGAAGTGTGAAAGCGCTCTTATCGCTGAGGCCAGCAGTCTCTCTCACGTGTGTCTCTCCAGGGCCGGTGGGTTTTTTGAAGTTAAGCCTAATTACATGAAATTAACGAAATATCAACACAATGTTTAATATTTTTCTGTAGAGTGTTTAAATTACATGCTTTATATATATTTCTATGTATACATTATTTACTTAAGTTATTTCTTGTTTAAATATATATTTTACACATTTTATTTTCATTATGTACCTATCATTTAATAACATTTAACATTACATATCTGAAAACTAAATGTATGACTTAAAATTCTTTTTTCGTATGAAAAATTTTAAAACAGGGATCTACAAGATCTAACTATCCACTAAAAACTAAACCAAAAATCGAAAGTAGCGAGAGAAAAAACCTCCCCTGCTTACTATAAACAAATACCACGTGCGAATTTAAAGAGCCATCATAAAACATTCCTTCCCCCTCCATTCCTTTCCCTTAAAAACCGCGTGAATGTACTCTCATCTTGAGTTGAAGGTCAAATCTACATGTATCTGAAACCATATGTACATACAATGCCATCTTCTGAAAGAAATGTTATTTTTTAAAACGTTCCGAAACGCTGGCACAAACAAGTGACAGCCGGGGCTAAATGAGAAAATGCTCTGGCACGTGGGTGTGTGGGTCGGGAAGTGAGCACGTTTCTTGCTGGCACGTCTATGTGACAGTCGGCGCAAAAGGGTTAAACTTAAATTATTAATTAGCTGCTATTCTGAAGTATTAAAAATAATACTTGTGCTATTTTTGTCTTGTCCTTTCAAGGCTTATGTACTGAAAAAGTATGCAGCTGAGATATATTTTTAAAATTTCTTTATCAGGGGTTTGATATAAAAATTTTTAACTTATGAGTATTTAATATGGGTAAGGCATTTGTTTTTAAATGAATTCAAGTTAAACATATAACTAAATGTATTCAATACTGAATGTAGAAATTTAAAGTCTAAATATTAAGTCCATTACTAAATTAAACTATATATATTAACTAAAGTGTTTAGGAAATTCCTTATTTTATTTATTCAATAATATAAAGCAATAAGTAAAGTGAATTGTTGTTGTAATTATTATTTACTCTTTTAAATCTGACTATGGTTTATCTGTGTCTTCTGTGTAATATGTCTGAATAAAGGAAATATGTTGTAACTTGCATTTCTTCTAGCTTAATAGCTAATTCATGACTAAATTTGCCAAACAAATATGCATAATTTTTGCTACCAATATGTTAGTTTTATGTAGCAATTTTTTTTAGTTTTCACTTTTTTTTTTTGTAAATTTAATTATGTTAAGCTTTTTTTTTATATGATTATTTTGCTATTAATTTTCTTCCGATTATTTAGGAATTCTTTCTGTCAATTTGATTTATCACTAATTGAAAATCATATTCTATCAACTTTAAACTGTGTTGTTTCTATTTATTTGTTTCTTGAAAACCATTAACACTGAATTAATGAAGTTTTAATATGGTTTATTTCTAAAATTTGGAATGAAATCCTCATTTTTTAGATTGTTTTATTTTTTCTGTTTTCGTGATCTTTTGAAGTAGTTCCTATAAAATTATCATTCATTATAATTATTTTATTAATTTTCAGAAACATTTTGTATAAAGTTACCTTTTGAAACTCTTTAATATTTGCTGTAGGATTAATTTTATTTTTAGATGACTAAACAGGATCTATTTGATATTTGGCAGACTTAGTTGTGTTGAAAGTGCAAAAATAGATTGATTTAAAATAAATAGTTGTATTCTTTGATTGGTTTTAGAGGAAAAAACTATTTAAATCTAATTTCAAGAATCAGAATTTATGTTGAATTGTGTTCATCGTATTTAAAGCTTATCTTTTTTGTCATGTTATCAAAATTCATTCCCTGCGCAACACAATTTAAGTATGTCTACCTCGTTGTTTAACTGTGACATTAAATATCTTTTTATTTTAATTTACATAAGTATTTTGACTTAAGTTTAGGTTTTATGACTTTTAAAAATATTTTAAATGTTAAATTTTTATGATACAAAGCATATGTCTAAATTTATAACTTAAATTATTTAAAAATTAAATACAATTATATTTTTTTTTCAATTTTTCTTTAAAAAATTTAAACCCCATTCTTTTATTAATTTTTCAGCTTCAAATTTTAAAATAGTTATACACTATTTAAAAAAAAATATAGTAAATAGATAAATACAAAAAGTTTACTAATTTGCAAACTAAATGAATCCAATTTTATTTAAATTTGTAGTAATTAATGAAATGTGTAAAATTTGTTTTTATGACTTTTCAGACATTCTTTACAGTTATTTGTTCCAAATAATAAATTTCTTTTTTGCAACATATTTGTTAACCATTTTTCTACTTGTAACTTGCAATTCCTTTTTTTTTTTTTTTTTTTTNCAAAAGTTTTTGCTGTTTTTTTTTTTTTTTTTTTTAAATTATGTTGTTATTTTTATGGTACAGTGTATCCATTTCTTTAGATTTCTTTGCTATATCCTTCTGTCACCAGGCAAGAACAATTTAGTTTTTCTTACATTCTAAGAATTGCTATTCTCAGCTACAATTGTTGTGTTATAAGGATGCAATTATTTTATTTAGCTGGATTTTCAATACCAAAAAATGAAATGTTAGTTTTTACAAATTCCAATGTAATAATTTATAATTCGATTATTTCAATTAGTGCTAAATTTTTTTATTATTTTCAATACACAAATTTAACCTGTTTCAGCTAATAAACTATCAATAACTCTTTCATCTCTCAAATTATTCAATGTATCTTCTTCTTCTTAGTGTTTGTTATATCTATAGGTTTATATTTGAGTGATTTTGTTCCACATACTTTTTTCTATTGTTGGATCTCTTTTATTTACTCTACTTTTGTCTGTTCTGAACTTATTAAATATCAATATTCTAAAAAAAAACATTTTTTTACTTTTTTATTTCTTAGCTTACCAAGCAGCATTCCGAAGCTGTATTCCTTTTTTGTGATCTTAATTTTAGATATGTAATGGCTTTCAGTTTATTCAGCTTTCAAATTGTTCATTTCCTCCCATCGGAGTCCATTTGATTGTGATTAATTTAAGAATTAATATAAATATTTCCTATGTCCTGTCTTTTTCTTATGTTTCAGGAGTTTATTGTGCCTCATTCACCGTATGATCGAATTTGTTGTTCGTGAAGGACCAATGTTTGAGGCAATGATAATGAATCGTGAAATAAATAATCCTATGTTCAGGTATGTATATAAACACATTTTTATATCGATATAATATCTCAATGCTTAATGTGTGAATTTATATACCATTTTCATTTAAAGTATGTGTTAATATCTACATGTTATCTGCTAATTAGTCTATTTTTAATTTTGTTTCCATAATTATGAAAATTAAATTTCATTCTGAAATTAAGTTGATTACATTTATATGTTTATTTACTTTTCAGTAAATTTAAATGTAACTTAAATATAAATTATTATATTGAGTTTAAATTTGGGAAAATCTGTCCTATTTCAGGTTTCTCTTTGATAATCAGAGTCCGGCTCATGTGTATTACAGGTGGCGTCTGTATTCTATTTTAAAAGTCAGTATACCTATGTATGCATTAAAAAAACAAAAGTAAATCTTGTGAGAGATTTTGTAAAAGTGTATTTTCTTTTTTTTAGGGGGATCATCCTAGCAAATGGCATACTGATGAATTTCTTATGTTTAAAGAGGGCTCTTTTTGGAGACCACCTCCTCTTAATCCTTTCCACCTAGGTATGCCTGAGGAACTTGTGGAAGTTCCTCCGCCTCCCATAACCAGACCCATTGAACCTAAAAAAGGATCATTATCTGATACGTAAGTCAATGTCCTTTATTATTTGTTGATTAAAAAGTGTTCGGACACCAAAGTTATTCAACTTCTTTACACCAAAAGTTATTCAACTTGGAAAAGTTATACAAATATAATTTGGTTATTTGTAGTTTGTCTAGATAAAATTATTTTAGTAGAAGTCAAGTTAAAGAAACTAAATATAAAAAATTTGTCAAAATTTTTTAATGAAAGGGGAAATGAGAATTAAGATTTTCAATATAAGATGTAAATAAGCTGTTTTATTTAATGAAGCATGGTTTTAGTAGTTTTTCAGAAATAAGCAAAGCTGTAGTGCACTTTGGGATAGTGTTTAAAATATTGAATACATACTATGTAGGTATTTGTTCAATAAAAATCACCAAAACTGTGCTTCAAAAGTAAAATTTTTATTTATTTTATTTAAATGTTTAATGTTTCTTTTTTATATCCCAGACAACGTGAGAAGTTTGAAGATTTATTACGTGGTATCACTCCTGAGAAATTCAAGATTGCAGATGCTATGATCTATTGTATTGAGCATGCTGAAGCTGCTGAAGAAATAATTGATTGCATTGGAGAAGCCATTGCTACGCCTGAAGCCCCATTATATAAAAAAGTAAATAGAATTTGAAGGCTGATTTTTTTACATAATTATTTCTTTTGTACAAATGACTTATGAACAATTATTGTTAGTATTGTTTTATATAAAGAAATTTTAAAAATAATAATAATAACTCTCAAAATGTCAGCTACATAAAAATATAGTCTTCAGTATGATGAATGCGATTTAGCTTATTGCCAATGCTAATATAGAATCTTTTCATTTTTAGTGTTTGCATAAAATGCATGTCCCGAGTTTCTGTGGAGTAGAAGTTAAAAAATTAGAAGTTCAGTTATATATATTTTTTTCTGAACGTATTGGATATTGTAGAGATTGTACTTTTTCCATATTTAAAAAAATGAAGTTTAACTGAATGTCTAAAATTATTAATGCATATTAGTTTAAGGATAATTTTTTTATTGCTTAAAAATTAAATTATACCTTTTAAGTTTTGAATTTTATAAAATCTTGAAAGATTCCAGAAACACTTCTGATGTTGCTTATTATAGTAAGCAAATTATAAGTTATATTTCTTCAATTTGATAAAATAAAAATTATAATTAAATTTTACATTAGTAAAGAATGTGTAATAATACATATTTAAAATGTAGTATTAATTTTTGTAAGAACGAGATAAAAAGTGTTAAATAAATATGTCATTTTATAAATGTATTCCTTTTTGTGATAAATATTTTATTTATCTTTTCAGATTGGTAGATTATATCTCATTTCAGATGTGTTGCACAACTGTAGTGTCAAAGTTGCTAATGCATCATTTTATAGAAAAGGGTATGGCATAATTTTACAAGAGTATATTTTTTAAACATATTTTTCTTTCCTTAAATTTGATCCTTTCTATAAACTTAAATACACTTTTAGATTTCAAGCTAAACTACCAGACATTTTTAAAGACCTTCATGAAACTTTTCAAAGTATAGAAGGACGCTTGAAAGCTGAACAATTTAAGGTAAATCATGTATTTTTAAAATAAAATAACATTAACCTATTACTCTTTTTTAATTTAGTTATCATTATGTAACTGGTAAATAACAAAAGGACTCTTTTATCATTGCAAAGTAATTCGTTATGCCTTTTAGTTAATACCTTCTATTCATGGTAAAAATTCCTGTTTACAAAATAATTATAAATATTCTACGTAATTAAACATGAAGAAAAAAAATTACGCAAATGCTATCAAAGAATTAGGTTTTGGAAGAATTTACAAATTTTGATGAACAAACATTTGTAAAGTTGTGCTAATCAAGATTTTAGCATTAATTAATCATCGCTGCTTAATTTTTAACTTAACATTTTTCTATTCATGGAGTTTTTTCACGGTTTTCAGCTAAGCCTTAAAAAAACAGTTACTTCAAAAGCTAGAAAAAAGTTATTAATGTATTTTACAGATCAAATCTAATAAAAAATCTATATATATATTTCTCTTACACGGCGATAAAAAAAAGCCTCATTACAACTCCCCGAATGGCAACGCTAGAAAATAGACCAATGATTACCGCTAAAAATGTCACATGCCAAATTCTAGCTAAGATGGCTCAACATATAGCGCTTTTAAAAACGGAAACTGAAATAACCAGGGAGAGCATAAGCTAGGCAGAAGTCTTTGTCGATAAATCTCTATTTTGGTTTTTTGTCGAAAGCGTTTTTTTTTCACGAATTTATTTGACAATTTTTGATTTATATCACGAATTTATTTGTTTTACTAGAATTTATTTGTTTATGCAGGTTTTTCCATTGCAATTCACTTATTTAAATTTTTAATAGACTTAATTATAGCCGAAATTTTAATCTTTTTAAAGAGATATCAGTTTTAGAAATTTTATCTTAAGATTTTATACTATAGCACATTTCTAATAGATTTAACGAATTACATGTCATTTATTTGAATTCAAATTTATTTTAAGGACTCAGTACTTACTAAAAAGATGTAATTTTTTTTAGAAAAAAAAGTTGTTATATGGATTTGAATGATTGTTTTGAATTCTTAGAATTTTGTGCATTTGCAATGTACCTAAGTTAGTAGCAAGCGAAGCGAGCTTGGTTTGCGGAGCAAACCATATAACATTGCGTAGCAATTTTCGGGGGTTGGCGAGCGTTAGCGAGCAGGGGGCGCAGCCCACTAGTATTATTAATTTTTTGTTTGTGTGATGTTATTTATTTATATTTTAATTTAATGTTAAAAAGTGGTTAATTTTTATTACCTTAATTTAAAAAGTGTATTAATATATTTAATTTATGTACACAACTAAAAATTCACTCATTGTCATAAATGTCAAAATTGATTCATTGTTATGTTCCTTTTTTTGTATCAATTTGGTTAGATAGTTAGTCTAAACAAATTGCACACTAAATATAATGTATTAATTATAGAATATCAAAATTTATAACATTATAGCCTTTAACACATTATTTTCAAACGTCTTGCCACTTAAATCTTTTCTAATAATTTTTTTTTAATTTTCTGAGAGTAAATGCCAGCTTTAGATATAATTTCAATCTTTTTTTTTATTATTATTAATCTGCATATTATGCGATGATACTTGCATGAAATTTTTTAAAATTAATTTATTATTTAAGTGGAATTTTATTTTTACTCTTACTGCTCAATATCTCACCTAAAGGACACTGTAAATTCTCTTAATTGTTTTTTTCTTTTCTTCTCACTTTAATGATTTGAATAATTTTTTTATCAATCGATTCAATAATAGCAACCTGTATGTATTTGTTGTTTTATGTTTCAGTTATCTAAAAATATTTTTTTTATCAATTATTAATTTTCCTTCCTTCTAGCAAAGAGTAGTGAGCTGTTTTAGAGCTTGGGAAGACTGGGCAATTTATCCAAGTGAATTTCTTATCAAATTACAAAATCTATTCCTTGGCCTTGTTCCATTAGTAAGAAAATTTTTATATTCCTATCAATTTTAGCATTTCAATATTATTTTTTTAATTTGATTTTCAATTACAATCAATTGTTTTGGTCATTTTAATACATAGTTGAATTTAGTTGAATTTAGAAATTGCAGCTTTAATTTCTTATTTTTTGTGTAAGAATTTTTACTGCTTGTTTATGACATAGCAAACTTATTTTAAAATATTACTAAATTGCATTTTTGAAATGGTTAGCAATATTGTGTATCATTAATAAAATATAAATTAATAAAAGGGTAACTACAATTTTGTTATAAAAAGCAACATATTTTTATGATTAATGATAAATTTATATTGATAACTAACTTTTTTCTTAACATTGCAAAAGTAGTTTTTTTGCAAATAAGTTGTTATATCCAATCCTTCTTTATATCTTTTTATCAATAAAATCTGGCACTCTATGCCTTTACTGCTTGCTATATTGTATCAGTTTTGCATTGAAGCCAGCCAAATTCATATAAATTGGCTACTGAGATAGGTTTTCTTTTAGGTGCTCTTATAGGTGTTAGGTGATAGGTGTTCTTATACCTGATGGCAAAGCTACCTTCTTTTTAGAGTTCAAAGTCACAAGGTAGCAAGAAAGAACAATAAAAAATTACTAATTTCTCATGTGAAACAGCTATTTATTATTGGTAATAAAATAATGAAAACACTTCATATCAGATCTAATTAAATTCAGAATCAAAGTGGATGTTTTCAGCAAGTAGATATAAGTTTTTATCAGTTTGTACTAAAAAAAAGTCATAAACATGAAATAAAATTAAATGTTCTATGATTCTATGGTGTTGAAGTAATGCTGTCTGGTTTTTAAAGTAATTTGCAACTTCAATAATACCAGAAATTAATTGAATAACTTTGTTTTCCACCCTGTAGTCACGTGACATGAATGAAGATAGCAATTCACCTCAACCAGGACAAATGGCTCCTACTGATACTGAAGTACAATCTTCTGATGATATTGATGGTGTGCCTTTATCTGTTGATGATATAGATGGCGTTCCATTAGATGGTTCTTTAGTTGAAGACCGAGATGATATAGACGGTGTTCCTTGTAAGAATTTTTTTTTTACATATATAAATTTCTTTGCTTCTCATAATTTTTGATCAGTTTTTTTATAATGCAACGTAAAATAAGGCATGATTTTAATTCTGTTCTATATGTTTTCTTTTTGAATTTCCTTTTTTTTTATTGTATTACTACTTATTTTTAATACCATTATGGAAATTTTTACTATCTTTCCTTTTCTTCATTTTTTTTATTGTTGTCTTGCATGTTTTTATTTTTGAGAAATTAAGATGAAGTTTATTTTATTAATACTTCTATTGCTTTTTTTAAAAACAATATTGCACATTTCCTAGTTTTAGCATGCATAAATTTAAGTTATTAATGCTTTTTGTTTGTATCCTATGTAATCATAAAATCTTTTAAATAACAAGTGGTTCTTGGACCAAAAGGACCTCATAATAAAGTTTTGTTATTTAAGTGGTAGTAAATAATTTATAATAACTTAATCATAATTGCCTCTAGATTATTTCTCTATACTTAGTTTTTGCTCAGTTCAGCTTTTTTTCACCTCATGTTAGTCGCTTGAGATAATGACATAATGATTAAGGCACTGAGCTATCATTTTGAAGGGCTGGAGTTGTATCCTCATTAGAATCTTAAAGCTCACAGAGTTCAGATCAATGGGTTCTGTTTTGTTTGGAAAAGAAATTCAGCTGGGGAGCAATGCTGACCACATTACCAAATGATGTCATTGATCTCCTACAAATGATAGAGCCTTAACCTTAATGTTAGAGCCTCGACAATTGGCTGTGGCGGAAATGCTTTATTGATATTACAATAATTACAAGTATGAAGAACAGTAGTATGGTACCCTATATTGCCCTTTTGAAAAAAGATTTTATGCTTAAAATAATTTCAACAAATTATTGAACAAATTTCTTTAAAAAAAATTAAAATAAGCTGCTGCTTTTTGAAATTTGCTGCAAATATGGAAAACATTATTATGACTTTCTGCAATATTCATTTTGCTTAGTTCACATATTTTAGATTTCTTTCTTTCTTTTTTTCTTCCTCATACACTTAATTCTACTTATCTTTCCTTATTAGTAAATGACGACTTAGATGGTCAACCATTAGAAGACATTCCTCAAGATATGGAGGATATATCATCCAAGTTTAAACCCTCAAAATGGGAAACTGTTGATCCTGAAACTGTAGAAGCACAAGGTAATTTTTTTAAACAATAAATTTATGTAAGTTATAATGATTTCAATTAAGCTTTATTTTAAATCTTTATAATTTTTAAAGCTATTACTACCTCAAAATGGGATCTGTTAGAACAGAATGAAGAACATGAACATGTTGATGATATTGATGGACAGTAAGTTGCAATGTTTATTGCTCTTAATAGAGCATCTAAATATTAAATAAAGTTGGTAATTATTTTTTTCTTGCAACTAAAAGGTTAACAAATAGCCATTTTCAAAAATTTCTGATTTAGAGTTTTTTGAAAATGGCTGGAATGAAAACTATTAAATTTCAGATTACTGATTAATTATTCTACTTTTTGATATAATATAAAATTGTAAAAATATCATAATATGCACAAATAAGAAATATCTGTTGTGTTCTGCTTGCAACGCATTAAGAGACTCTCAAGTTTTTAAATTTTACTGTCTCAATTAGGCCTATGGATGATACTGCGTCAACAGTTGATGACATGTCCTACCAAGATGAAGAAAATAGTAAAGATTCTTCTACTATAATAGAGCAATTGAAAACTGACATTAATGAAGAAAGAAGGGCAAAATTAAGAGAAGTAGAGGTCAGTATTTTACTTGCATGTGTGTGTATATATATACTTAACAATTTTGGCAGATAGTTCTTCATATTGTGACAATTTATTTGTTATAGCATTATAGTAGATAATCGAATATAATAAAAGCAGATTTATATTTTTTAAGTAAAAGTACTGGTATTTTTTACTGGTTATAAACTTTCTACAGCTTTTAATTTTTTCTATTAGTTTATAGATTTGTCTCAAAATTTCCAAACCTCAAAAATATACTTAATATAATTGTTGGAAATTTTACTCTTAAAAATTCAAAAAGTTAGTAATACTGATTCAAACAGAAAGCAGTCAAACTAATTCCATTTCTGTGTATATGCATTTCATTAGAATATGGGGGGGAGGGGGATTTAAGAGAAAAAAAGCTGTTAGTAATTTTTTTGTAATCAGATATTTAACTGTACACTATCTTAAAAATAGTCTTAGTGAAAAGTACTAAGTACTGCTTAAAATTAACTTATTAAAATTGTAATAAATTCGACTGATGAGAAATCAAATGTAAGTTATAAGTCATGCAGAGCCATTATTTGCCATACTATTACATTTAAGTTTATTTTTATATGTTATGAAACCTTTAATTAAAAATTGTTTATAATGTATTTTATACTCTGGAAAAATGTGTTTTAGGTCAAAGTTATGAAATATCAAGATGAGTTGGAGTCTGGCAGACGATCTAGAAAACCAAATATGAAATTTTATGAGCAGGTTGAGCACTATCGTCAAAAATTATTGAAAAGAGTAAGTTATTTCTAAGATCTGCATGAAAATTTAGCGGTCTAGTCATAAAATATTTGATCTAAGAATAAAACATAAACTTGTGGAAGTAGTTAGGATCATATATCAAAAATATATTTTGTTATGAATATTATATTAGTATAATTTAAGTAATCTGTCATTAATACAAAAAATTACACATTAAACATTTTTTAAATGTAACATTATGTAGAAAAGGTTAAATGATTAACCTAAGTATCTATTTTCTAATGAATAAAATATGGTTAATGATTCTAGCTACTATTACTTTCAAGATTAGTATAAATTTTTGTAAATTATAAAAAAATGTTGGGAACATTTTTTTTATACAATGGATTAGATTTTGCATGCATGTAAATGAAATTTTTGATTTTAAATACAGCTAAAATAAAATCAAAATTCAACTATATCCATCATACAAGGACTGAGACAACTCCCTGGCCAATCAGAGAGTTCATTATACCATCGAGATAGTCTAAAAAATTATTGAAAAATCAAAGCTGTAATGCACAAAAATGAACTTAAAAATGGGTTAACTCTTGTTTTTTCATTAGACTGTAAGGCAAAATGTGCAAACTTTGTATGTAATTTAGCTTTGTCACTTGCTCATACTTTATCATGAGCACTTGAATAGTTAATGTTAAAACAAAACTGTTAAAGAAGTTAACCAATACTTTCTATAAAGGTCAATATTATTCAACCGTCACAAAAATCATATTTTTTTATGAAAAAGAGTAAAACATTGAAAGTACTATATGTCAAGCAAAATTAACTACAATGGCTTAGCAAAAATTAACTGAATAATTAATTAATCTTGAAATTATTGTTGTTAAAATTTTATTACTGCATTAGCTATTTTTATAATAATGACATTTAACTAAATTAATAATTGTTAGTTATTAACTTCTACTTACAAAAAGCTGGCAGTCCTTTTTTTTCAATATTTTGTAAACCAAATTATAGTAATTACAAAGAGAGTAATAAAAAATTTCATTGGATTATTTTTCCTTTGTCAAATTAGTATTTTATTTTATGCAGCATTCTTTTTTGTTATGTATTTTTATAGATTGAACGTGAAAATAAGTCTGATCGAGAAGGATGTGAGAAGCATAAGCGTCACAAAACTCATTCACCTGCTATTGTTGAGGCTACACTTGATTCTTCAGATGAAGCAGATCACAGTCAAAGTCCTAGTTATTACTCATCAGTTCGTAAAATTAGTCCACGCAGTGTTGCATTCACGCCTGGAGATAATATACATTCCCCACACAAATCTTATAGATCATATTCTCCGAAGAAAACGCGGAGGTAAGAAACATGATCAGGCTAGCTAACCTTCCGAGTTTAGGCCGAAATCTCTGGATTTTTTCGTTATTTTCGACACTTCCGTGTTCAACACCAAAATCTCTAAATCCATTTATTTGTACTCTTAAGAGTTATATGTTGTTATTTTTAATATTAATTATATTAATAGGTTGAAAATTAAACATTTCAGGAATATATATTATTTTAAGAACTAATTGTAAGTGTAATGATTAAAAAATATTGACATAACACCTTGTCATAGTTTTGGAAAATATCTCCTCTTTTTTTTGGTAAGGTTGGCACGTCTCTATCATGAAATTGTATTTTTTAATTTAGTCTTAATATTTTGTATACTATAAATAGAATAGAAAGAATGATTACAAATAATGTCCAAAATTCATACAACTTTCTTAAAAATGTTTATTTTTTTTAATAAAATTAAAAATAAGAGGGAAATTAAAATGTATTATATATTTCATATATTGTGTAGAATTTGGTTATTCAAATATAAATTAAAAAACTATTTTTAGATCTAGAAGCCGAAGTCCCAAAAGATCCAGACGCTCAAGATCGAAGTCACCATATAAGCGAAGACTTTCACCAGATTCACCTCCTGCTCGTAAACACAAATCCAAAAAAAGTAGACACTGAACATTATGTTTTTTCCTACTTTGAATGTCATTGTGTGCTTTTAAATCACATTAACTGAGAGCATAAACTTCTCACCATTAGAAATTACTCTTGCCTGAAACTGTGTACAAAAGCTCTAAATGCATTATTTAATAAGATATTTGCTTCAAGATTTATTGAATTACTTTATTTATAGTCATAAATATTTGCAAAAATTAAGCTTTATTATGAAAATAGATGAATCTTAATTTATTTGTTATATTTTGAAAACACAAAAAGATATTTTTTATACCTAATTTCTTGTATAAAATGGTTTCTCTTTTGTTTTGCATTTGTATGGGATTTCAATTTCTGTCATTAAGATTATGTGACACCGAGTCAAAAGAAAATGTAACGTTGCAGCATACATTGTTTTATTGTGTACCATTTTAAACCAACATTTTATAATAAAAGATCTTGTTGAAAATGCTAAAATACCATTTTTTGTGTTTGATTTCTTGTACAGTGCAGGCCTGAAAGTGATACAGAACAAAATAAAAACTGGTAGTAGAATCATTTCAATAATAGATTGTTTTTTGGAGGAGTAAATCCATTCTTAACAATTAACTATTCATTGCTATTAACTTTTTTACCAGAATGAAACAATGCTATGTATTGTACCCATTAAGATATTTTATTATGCCCAGAAACTAGCTAAAAATGAAATTTAATTGTTACCAATATTTACTCTTTTCTGTCTTGATATATATTTAAACTTTCAGCCTTGGTAAAGTGCTCTTCTAAATTTTAAGTGTCACCCAAATTTTCCTTACTTATTTTCTCATTTGCAACTTTAAATTATAATGTTATTTATTAGGCCTATCGATATTTGTTTCAAAATTATTATATCCTGTGACAGAATTAATGTAAGTGTAAATAAAAAAATTCTTTCCGTGAAATTATAGCGTTTACTTTAATTTTAAAAATGGTAAAAAGTTCAATTATGGCAGAAACTGTTATACTACTCTAGCTGTGACAAAATGCAAATTTACATTTATACAATAGGCAATATGAATTTGTTTTCTTTTGGTAAGGAGGCTGAAGTTTTTTAATGGATTTATAGTGGGGATTTCGCATAAGCTCTGGGAAAACTTAAATGCTCAAAACATTTTTTATAGCCTAAAGATTAAGTTATGGGGTTAAGTAATTTTATATAGTTTAATGGGAATTTAATGAATTTTTCTGCTGTAATTTTGTACTTTGTTTTGTTGTTTTTCCTGTATTTGTTTTTAAAGGAAATATTTAAAAAGTTTTTTTCTTTTAAAAAAAAAAAAATTATGCATGATTGCCTAGAAAGAATGCTCAGTTACATGAATACAAAATTCTCTTTGATTTCTAAGAACCCCAAACCATTTTACTTTTAATAATGTTTTGAAACTCCTCTTGTAAATCATATTAAATAGGACATAATCGCTGGTGTAATCAACATTGTGCCCCTTTATGTCATTTCAAATAATATAAATACATTGTGATTTAAAAAGTTGCTAAGAAAGTAGCATTACTATGTTTTATTTTCATGATTTTTTTTCTATTATTATAAAGACCAAGGGAATAAATTTTTTAACCATATTCAAATCTTTTTAACATCTAAGATGGAATAAGACCCAGATTTCTTTTCCTTTCAGTTTTTTTTCTGAAACAACGAATCAACTATTTACTGAAAATTTTCAGGTTCACAGAAAACCGGGAAATACTGGTTTCTATTCGTTTACTTGGAAATAAGGCAGTTTATGAATTTATGTTACAGTTTGTCCTACTCGTCCCTTAACTCTTAATTTCAGACACTGAATGGTTCTCGGAGGAAGGTTGCATGATGCAATTGCACTCCTAAAGTGTCCCACACATGCTGTACCACAGAGATGTAGGTAAGAGGGATTTGGGGAGTAAAACAGCTAATTGTACATGGTAATTTTATGTTGTTTTTTTCTCGTTTTAGTATTGTTTATGTTTTGTTGTTTACTCTTTAATTTTAGAAAAAAATTTAAAGATTTTACTGGTGCAAAATAAAAACTAAGCATTCTTTTTACTTTTTTTTTTAAATCGATCGTCTTGTTATTCTTTAACAAAAAGAAAATTATTACCACTACCTTTCTGTTACCCTTCACTCGAAAAACAAAACAAATGCATGGCTTTTCTCCTGGATTTTGATGCTTTTAATTTAATGCATAATTTACTTTTTTGCACTCTTAACTAACCGTCTCATTTTACTTTGGAAAAATGTTCTTGGATTCTTTTAATTACCTCCATCTTATCTATTGCCTCAAGCCTTTTTAGTTCCTTCATCTATGACATTTTAAAATATTGAATGCAATTTATTTGCATCCTTCTGTTTTGCAATTTATTTACAATATTTATCTATTAACATTTTTTAATTTTATCAATTTATCTTTCTTTAAATTAAACATTACACCCTACCTACTGTTAAGAAATTTTCAAGCAAATTCATTTTTTTAGAGGTAAGCAAATATTTGTATGAAATCAATCTATTCCAGGAGTTACCTTGTCTTCTTAATTGTGTTCAAAAATTTAAAGTTACAGCGTTGAACATTCGTAATCGTGCACTCAAAATTGGGTTGACTGTTCAAGACGGTTATAAGAGAAATATATACATTAATTCTCTTTCTGTGAATAGAGAGATGCAAAAAATATTTTTAACATCTGCATACAAATAACAGTTTTCATGAGTAACGATTATTATTTAGCATGAAGAACTTACATAAATATGTACTTCAAACAAAAAAAATAAAGATGAAATGGCGAAAATTTCTATTACAAAAGCTCATTAAAAAGCATCTGTTTAAGAAGATTTTTTAATATTAACAAAGCAAATCTATGATTCATATATTTCTAAACTTGAAACAATTTATTTCTGAAATGAACTGAAAAATTTGCGTTAACTGTTTGCTTCTGCAGTTTTTTTTTACACACTCGTAGTGATTAACTACTTCTCTTCATAAATCTTTACATGGGATTTTTATTTCAAAATCTGTTATTGTGAATGACCGAAATTTGAAGAATGTTGACTTGCACCGGGCAATGTCAACAATCTCATTGTCGCTTTAGTGAATGTCCAAAATATTTGTCATGTCCGATTTTATATTAATTTATTCATTGATATTTTAATATTTATTAGATATTTTAATATCTTATTGGGATGGATTAGGAAAATTTAGTGTTCAGAATAGCGGGCAGTGGCACTTTACCTTAAAAAACATTAGTGTAGGAATACCTAGCATCGGGCAAGTGTAATCAAATTAATCTGGTAAATCAGTATGATTAATACAATCAGTTATTTATTTCGGACGTTTACGAAAGTAACTATGAGATTGTTTACAGCTAATAACATCATCAATTTCGGTCTCTTCCAGTGACATAACATCTAAGGCACCAGCTCGTTATGACTTTTTAGATTTCTCCGTGATCTAAAACTAGCTATAGCCAAAGAATGTATCTTTTCTATAGCTACGCTCGTCATTACGCTTCTTCCCCTGAGCATTTGCTATTTAAAATTTTCGCATGCATTGCAAAAAACACAATCTTAGTATTTTTTTAAATTTAAAATTACATAAAAAAATAGCATAAATAAATGAAATAACAATTGTTATTTGATTAAAAATTTAAATAATAATTAAAATGTGTGTAAATTAATTAAAACACAATTGAATAAAAAGTAAATGATATCTTTAATAAGGATAGCATCTTTACTATTATGATGAGTATTTTATCATTAATAATATGATTCCCGCCCGCCCAAAAAAAGATTTTTTTTAATATAATATAAATAATTAATTTTTATCGAAAATTATTTTAAAAAGTGGATTTATTCTCTTATAAACCAGGAACCCTCGAAACTGCCCAGTTCGCATTCTGAGGCGATTATATATATATATATATATATACGATTATATATTTGCTTGCAAATTGTTCTTCTAAAAATAATTTAACTACTAAAAAACTAACTTTTTATACATATAAAAAAAATATCGATTAAATCGACATGCAATTGCATAAATAACTTGATAAAAGTGATAAGCAGAAAAATGCTCAGGGCCTGATATAAAAAGGCATTGGAGCCATAGACACAGAACTGTCAAGGGCCCTCCTAATCCTCCTCAAGGGCCTTGTCTGTTTAATAATGAAGAGTTTTTAAATTATTTGGAACATAATTAAATTACGATATATTCATAAATAAAAGCCCGAACTCATAATTCTAATAAACAATTCTTAAAACAAATAAAAATATGCTTGTAAAATTTATGGGCCCACCAGAAATAAGGGACCTAAACCTAGATCTCTCAAGCCTTATGATAAATCAGGCACTGGTAGAGATAAATTAATGGAAGTAGGTAGGTAATATACTTACGTCGTACTATTAAAGCTACACATTGGGCTATTTGTAACGGTCTGGGAAACATACCTGAGGTACCTTTGGATCCTACTCAAGCTGAGTAGGATCCAAAGGCAAACCATCACAATTTTAATCCTCTGCAGAGGGGCCCTCAATCGGGAGACCACTTCTTCAATTTAGACATAGATCTGAAGGGGAAGGAAATTTTCACCAGATCCCTGTACCCATGGTACTACTCAGCGACCGACCACAGAACTTTCTACAGGTTTTCGGAGCATGTACTCGGTCTGTCTTTGCGGAGTCGAGGATCGAATCCCGGCCCCATCAGACTGGAGTTCGATTCTCTTACCACGGGAATGCGAATTAGAATTTGATTGATGTGAGACTCACAAGACTCTTGAGTATATTGCATGCGCTAAATTGATATACAATTTAACGCATACTACTAACTTAACGCATACTATTTAACGCATACTACTAACGCAGATACTGTGTAAATGGCTCTTAAATAAATCAGATCATTAGTGGGACAAAAGAAAGAAGCTTGCTCTCTCAATGATTAAGCAACTTCAACTTCACTCTTCCATTTAACAAAGATGGCCTCTAGGAGGAGGACGGCTGAAGATAAAAATACAAAACTTTTGCGGGAACTTGCTGCAATTCCTGCTAATAAACAATGCTTTGATTGTTTGCAACGTGGACCAACTTATATTAATGTTACAATTGGTTCCTTTGTCTGCACAACATGTAGTGGAATTTTGTAAGTTCATCCTGTCATTGTTTTGGAACCCTTTTCTGTAGAACGTTTATATTTCGAAACAATTACTTTATCTCATAAGAAAAATTCTCCTATTTTTTTTTGACTTTTCTAGAACATCTTCTTTAACGATAGATATCGATAAATTATCTACCAAACCAATTGAGTATTAATACGAAGAAGTACTTTGATTCAGTGAAATGTAAATGTAATGCAATAGATCTTTGGAATTTCAAGTGAAAGGAATTTATCATTCTACTGTGCATATAAAATTAATTCGAATTCCTGAACTTTTGAGTACGTGTATAAGATAATAAATTTTATATGAAATCGCAATTTCAAGTATGTCCTTGGAGATGGTCACAGTTTCTTTTATTATAAATTCAAACAATTTCACCAGTGTAACATTTAGAATAAGTAATAAAATTCATTTTAGTTTTAATCTTTATAAGTATAATCTTATTTGGTATCTTTCTTTATGGCTGTCATATAACTATGTTTCTTTTTGATACTTGATTTCATTTGTATACAAATAAAATAATTTCTTATGTCCTAGTGATGATTTTAAGTTAGACATTTTTAAGATTAAATGCCAGAACAAAGTTGAAGATCTTCATGCCAAATTATTTTTACATAAATTTGTGGTTGCAACAATTGGGGGAGATTTCTATGGCAAAATAATCGCTAAATCTTGGAAACTTCCGGGCAGTGGCCCTCGACATACTAAATAAAACATCACAGAAAGGGAGGAACTCAAAAGGTATAACTCCTAGCCACCCCCAAGCAAACATCAACATTTACATTTTTAAAAAATTTGCAAGTTTAAAATCTATTTGGCACCTACGGTGATTATAGTTGGCGCGACAGATCACACTATGGAAATATACCCCAGCAATTTTTAAGCTTATTTAAAATTATTATTTTTAATAATTAATATTATCTTAGAAATTATTAATAATTTAAAATTATCTTTACCAAGAGAATGTAGGGGCATGCTTTATATGCAAAATATTGAAATAACATTATTATACAGCCTTGTGCAATAATAAGATCAGTGGCAAATTATTAAGTTCTTATAGTTTGGCAATACTTTTTCATATTTCCATTTACCGAATAAATGTTGCATTTCCACTGTCATTGTGGGCTTCAATTCAAACTAAAGTTATGCATAGAGAGTTTAACTTTCTTGGGGAAACATCGAGAGATAAACTTTCTTAGGGAGAAATAATGATCTGTGCTATTAAAATAGAATATTTTTAAGTCTATGTTTATTTTATTAACAAAATTATGTATTTGGATTGATATCAATATAATTATCTTAATTCTCTCAACAGAATTGGCAGAAACAATTTGAATATATAATAGGCATTTTAAACTTTCTTGCTAATTCTTATATAAATAACTATTTTAATGTATCATCAGTAAAATATGAAATTTAAGTATTTTTTTTTTTAAATATTAATAAGCAGATCAAAGCATTTATGATTAATTATTTCTTTTAAAAAAATTAAGCCTGAAATTGAATTTTCCTTCAGTTAAAACGTATCTTTTTGTTTTAAGGTATGCATATATCGGCAAAAAATAAAATTAAGAATAATTGCATCGTATATGATATTTGAAGGTAAAAAATATAATTTCTTTTGTTTGCTGAAAAAGGCAGCATAAAAAATCTAAATATTTTAATTTAGGTTCAATGTTATAATGCAAAACAATGCTTAAATGTTTTTTAAGTTTATTTAAAAGTAAGAACAAGGATTGTATAAATTATACTAATATATATATATATATATATATATATATATATATAATTCTGAAGAGAAATACACTGTTATTAATTAGTTTGAAAGTAACCATGCATTTACAAATAAAGGAAGCATCTGATAGAGATCAGAATAACCTGAGACAATCACAAAAAATCTTTTAATAATGAATAAGAATTCAGCAAAGAACAAAACTAAGTTCCAGGGCTGGTTTATTGATGATATACATTTAAGCTTGCAATGGTTGAATTTCAAAGTTATAAACTAAGCAACAATTACCAGATTATAGTTGATTCTTGTTAAAAGTTTTAATTGTTTTTTTTTCTTTTTTTTTTTTGATTTTCAAATTAAAAACACTCAGAAGCAAGTATGCATCTGACTTGTTTATTTACATAAAATAAATATATACCTATTATGTTTCAATGTGTTTTCTTATAGTGAAATATGATTTTGCTAATTTATATAAAATTTTTTTAATACTGATTCATAAAAACTTAAACTTGGCATCTAAAAATTTTGAACTAAAGTTGGCTTTTGCATATTGTGATTTCTTGTGTATTATCCGTGGATTACTTGTAAAAAAGCATGCAAATTGTCACTGTGGTTAATCTGCCAAAATTTGTTTCTCGTCATGAGTCATAGAATTTTCTATCGGCTCTTGTCAGTCATTAAGGTGTAAGGGACAATTCACACTAGATGCAAAAAATTTGTCTGTGAATTTGGAGATGTGAATGAAAAACTTATTGGTAAAATTTATACAGGGGGCGGTCCAGACATTTTGTAAAAGGTCCTGTTTTTGTAAAATTGTGAAAAAATTACTCGTAGTTTGTGAATATAAAATAAATGTTAAGTCACATTCTTTCAACCAAGGTCCTGCATTTATGAATTTGTGCAAATAGGGTCCAGTGATTGCAAGAAACTTTTTCAATGAGTTTTTAAATTGTAAGTACATACAAGATTATGCTCAGCACTGTAAAATTATAATTTAAAAAAAAATTTATTTTCAAAAATAAACAGCAATTGCTGCTTCTAAATTAGAGGTGCAACATGCAAATATTTGATATTTAGCCTATACTGCTGAACGCAGAATATTTATTTCGGGCGAATAATTGAAGAAGCTTCTGAAGAAGACAAAACTTAATTCGTTTACATCGGTCTTTCTTGTTTCTAACATGTTCTAACATGTTCTTTAAGTATGATATCAGGAATTTGCTTTTTCTTCCACTTTAAGTATTATAGTTTTTATTCATAGTCTTTCTACAATTGTTAGTACTATATTTTAGTTTATTTTTGTTAGACGAGGACTTACTCCACCACATCGGGTTAAGTCCATTTCGATGACTACTTTTACTCCTGAAGAGATTGAATATTTGAAGAGTAGAGGTAATGAAGTAAGTATTGTTTATGTATCTCTCTCTTGTATCTCTATTCCGTTTTCTGAATCTTTTTCTTGATATATTATTCTAAACAAAAATCTCTTTCTCACTCTTTAGTATTCACATCCAGTCTTTTAATCTATTTTTGGTTTCAAGTTATACATGAATTAACATTTTATGATTTTTCCTTTATGAACAGTGAGAAAGAATTATTTTCTCCTCAATCTATTTGAATTAAAATTTTTTTGATTTCCCTTATTCCGTAAAACACATTTTAAGATTCATTTTGCAAGATTTTCCCTAACTTTTATTGGGGAGCACTTTGATTTTGTGTCACTTGTATAATAGCTCTTCATGAGTATGTCTACATAAATAATAATTACGTACAGTCTGGTGCCTAAAACCTGCTTATTTTCACCTCACAGAGACGTTCTGCTCAGCCGGCAGCATTAAAATCAGGTGCCAGGCATGAATTATTGAATTTTTCCTTAAGATTTAAAAACTATTACTTCTTTTAAAATAATTAGAAGTGTCCTTAATGCATTTAAAAGTTTTGGTTTGTATGATTGCTTAAAAACATCTTTTTTTTTTCTCACAGTTTCATTAAAGTTAAGTATATCTTTATAAAAACAACTAAATGGAAATTCTATTTTGTTTTATTATGTTATTATATTAAATTATCTAAAGGGCTTAGTAATTGTAAGTATACAATATTTTGTAATACATAAAGTATTTTCATGTCATTATTTATAATGCATAAATTTTTTCCTTGTTAATTGCACTATATTTGAGGAATTTTTATGCTTATTTCTGTTTCAAATTTATTATAAAACACTTTTTTTTCTTAATTATTGAAATAACTAAACTTTATTAGTTTAGAACTCATTCTAATATATTTTTGAATAAAATTTATATCTTAATCAAAATTAATTTTTATGCATTTTTAAATTTATGTCATCTAAATTTTATCTCTTCACGATTTCTTTTTTTCAGTCCTCACTTTAGGTGTTAACAATTTATGACAGTTTAAACTAGTTTTCAACATTTGTTATCTCAAAAGCAGGTTGACTAAAGCCAGCATTTGAATATTGGATGGCAATTTCATTAGTTGTTTTAAAAGTGATACTAGATTATAAACATTTCTTTAAATTGCTCATTGTACTCTTTAACAGATGAGGTTCAATTATTGTTCTAGTATTTATTTTCAAATCAATTCTTCTTCCCCCCCCCTTTTCTAGTATTGTAGATATGTTTGGTTGGGCACCTTTGACACAAATTCAAGCAGCATCGAAAGTGAAGTCTCAGATGATCAAAGAAAAAGAGATTTCATGATACAAAAATATGAAAAGAAAAGATGGCATGTTGATCCCGAAATTGCAGTGAAGAAAATGCAAAGTGCTGGCACAATGCGCCATAAGCAAGAAGCTGTTCATTCTCAAAATTTCAATTCTAAAGCTCTTCCAGAAACTCAGCCTTTGTCTAGACTTTTGGGTAAAAACACCACACAATTAGTGGTGCAAAACAACCAAGTAAATATTTTTTTTCTATTGTTATTTCTTATTGTTATATTTTCAATTATCTAATACTTCTTTTTGTGGCTTTTATTTTGTATTAGTTTTTTTTATTTAGTTTGTTGTCTTATTATATTTTAAAAATTTCATTTTTTAAATTTTTTTTAATGAATGTACATATGTTCTAATTTAGTTTAAACCTTAACAATTTTTCAATTTACAATTTTTTAATATTAACCTGTGCTTTGAACTTAAAAAGAAGTTCAAATCAAGAAAATAGATATATAAAACAGTAGAATCAATAAATCTATTGCTTAATATTGATTTTTTAAAAGAAAATTTTTTATCATTCACGCTTGATAAAAATATTTAAGGCTTGATAAAAATAAATGTGTTATTTTTAATAACAATATCAAATTCACCTTTTGACTACAGCTTTTAGTTCAGAACATAGCTAACATTGTACAAAATCTACATATAAAGTTTTAATGAATTCTATAAAACACCTTTTTATAATGTGTGTGTTGTGTGAGCGTAAAGAGATTTTTTGAAAATTATTGTTTTCCAGAAAATGTATTTAAAATGTAAGAAAATTCTGATAACAAAATAATTTAATTATTCATAAATTAATTATTTGAAAATTAATTTCTGGAATGAGTTATGTTTGTTTTTAACATATAATTTTGTATAAATAAATGCTGCAAATAAAAACGATTAAAATAATCAAAGCATAACAAAAAATTTTTCTTTTTTTGGGAGTTATTTCCCTGTTTCAATATGTTCATTCTAATGATTGTCCATCAGCATGCTATAAAACAACCATAACCTCATTTCTAAAAATAATTTAAAAGATTTTATCGGATATAGTAGTAAAAAATGAAATTTGAAATTTCCAGTTTTCTTTCACCCAGTCAGTGACTTATTTAGAAAACTAAAATACTACAGCAAATGTGTTTAATTTTCATATTTATTTATAGAAGTGATTTTTGCTCCTCAAGAGCAAAAATCACTTCTGTAAATAAATATGAATAACACTGAGAGAAAGATATAAATAACACTGAGAGAAAGATATAAATAGCACTGAGAGAAAGATAATTCTGATAATATTTATTAAATATATATAAGGATTAAATGAAATACTTTAATTTTTAAATTGTAGAATATGTGAAGCATATTTTGACGTTGCATATATCGCTCATGGGCTGCAATAGCGGCACAACTCAAAAAATCATGTTTTGAGATAAGTGGGTTTAAAGTTTTCATTGCTAAGGAAAATGCATAAGAAATGCATTACTTTGCTTAAACGAGGATTACCTTCAAGTTGAATTATGAGTTGTGCTAGTATTGCTGCTGAAAGAATGTGTATTTTCATATTTACACCTGTTCTTTGTCTAAAACGCATGTTTTTGAGTTGTGCCACTATTGTAGCCCATGAGCGATATATTATTGAAATACATCTATTGCTAATACATTATTAATCTGAGTTTTTGTTAAAACATTTTTTATTGTACTGAAACTCTGGATTTATTGAAAAAACGAGTATTTTCACTCTTTGGAAGAAAAAACTGCCTCAATATTTATTTAGATAGCTCAATAATTATATAAATACAGGAAGAATATACTCTGAAAAAAATATAGTTAAAATTTTAAGAAAAATTATTAAATTAAATTTTAGAGAAAAATTTAACAAATTAATAGAAAATATATTTAAAGGGAAAAGAAACCTTTAAATAATCAAGTGAACATTTACATTCTCTGATTTTTTCTTATTAAACTTTTTACCTTCTTAATTCTTTTTTTTTTAACCAGTTGATAACTAAAACTTTGCTAAGAAAAAACTTAAAATTATACAAATTCCTGAAACTAACAAAATGCTGAAAAATACTTTCGTAGTGCAATTTTGTATCCTCTTTTAGGAGAAAAAAAGGGGGAGCATCTTTAAAAATTCTCTATGTAGTATTTTTCGAAATTCTTAAATTTGGACACAATTTTGCAGTATTTTATCTAACCACTGTAAGTAGAGTCAGTGATGTTTTAGGTAAGATACATAACAAAAGCATTTTTTTAAAATCAATTCTTAGCCACCTCCACCTGAAGCTTGGCCACATCCAGTGTCTTCTGCTTCAGCTCCCACTATAAGCACAAAATCCATGACTCAGAATCAAGGTAGTCGTTCCATTGATTTACTCTCTGAACTTGCTGGAGACAGTGCTGCAGTTAATTCTCAACAAGGTATGTGACTCTAAACTGTCTTCTTATACTAAATTTAATTTATCTAATCTATCTTAATTTATTTATCTAATCTATCTTAATTTCATAAAAAATTTGTACAACTAGGACTGCAAGTTTTTAAAGTTTAAAAACGGGAGGAAATAGCCCTTTAAATTTTAAGGGAAATGATTCTTGCATTTTAAAAAATTTATTTATTCCTCTAATTTTTACATGTTGTACTAACATTGTTTAAAAAGTCAATATTGTTCAATCAAGCTTCATATTGCTACTCTTAACAGCATCATCATGTTAACTTTTATGCCAATGGCAACTGGATTTACATTGAAATTGAGTGAAAAGTTATTGTGCAACTGTGATTCAAGAGTTGAATTTTGTAATGATATCTTATTATAAATCAATTTTTTAAAAACCATCTAGAAATTCATAGTTATAACTATTCTTAGCATTACCAGAGATGATTGTGCTCCAGAAAAAAATCCGGATTACCGGATTTTTCGCTAACCACGATCTGGAAATCCGGGGTTCAGAAGAAATCATCGATCACATTTATGTAAAAAAATTCTTGTATATATTATTTAAAAATATTAGAACTAAAATTTATACTTGACATCTCTTTCATTTGTAAATATTTTTTCTGGTAGAATAATAAATGTGATTAGAGATAAAAGTAAACTTATACATAATTAATAATTAAGATTATACTGCATATAATTTGTTTAGAATTTCATGCTGTGAAAATATCAATGATTAAAATTTATAAAGACATTAATTTTTTGAAATGCGTCATTAACATATTTGCTGCCACTAAAAATGATATTTCCATCCTCAGAAGCCGGATTACAAAACGGGGTTTTAATGGTTTAAATATTCCTTATATTTTACTGGGAAAACCAGAAAAACGAAGAGACATATTATTTTCCTGTTTAGAGAGCGTTTTATTCCCCGACGCTCTGGAGCGTCAGTGGCACGCAGACTCAACCTGTTTTCGTGAGTGGCACGCAGACTCAACCTGTTTTCGTGAGTGCCACTGACTCTCCAGTGCGTCTGATCAATATTCTCAGAAATTACTAGCATGTTGCATAAAATAGCAGCTTAAAAGGAATAAAACGGAATACCATTCAACTATATGTAGTACCATTTATGAAGCAATACTGAAAATATTTACAAATAATAAGCACAATATACAAATATTGGTAGTCACGCACATAAAAAAATTCAAACAAAAATTTTTAAAATAAAAAAATAATGCTTCACTAACCTGCCGAAACAACTTCTCCGTTCAACTCCCAAAGCCACACTAAACACAAAGCATATAACTTATCATAGTCGATCGACGCGATAGCGCGTCGGCGGCATACCAGGAGGTGACGCTCTGACGCGCTAGTGTGTCGGTGTCAGCGAACGTTTTAATGATATTACAGTGCCCGCCGCTAATAAAATCACCGGATAATAAAATCAGCCGCTTTATAAAATCAAATCGGCAAAAACCGAATCGTTACAATATTAATACATGTTAATAACATCCTTTAATAAAATCAATGCCGCCGCTTTTTAAAGTCAAAATTTTGACTACATAATAAATCAAAGGTGCAATATTTCAGCTTTTTTTGTTCTTATTTATAAAATTTTATTTTTTCGAAGTTTAAAGATATTTTTAGAAGAAGCAACAGTTACTCACAAACCTGTGAAACAGGTGTGGTTAGCACTTTCCTGTGATATACATAGTATAAGAGTTACGGAAAAATGTGGGTGGTAAACGGCAAGTTCATAGAAATCAATTTATCAATGTTAATTCCTTGACTTGAATGAAGTTTGGAGAAACCTATCTCACTCAACAGGGGGTCGAATTCTTATCTTACTTTTTTACTGAATGAACCATAGAAGGGAGAGAAGTTTCTTTTGTTATCTATCTTAACAGAGAACATGAATAGATTTCCAAAAACTGTCTGGGCTCATGTTCCATATTATTTAAGCCGTTTGAGTAAATTAGAGTTAGAGCACATATCATTTTGAAGTTCGTTTGGTGTTAAATTTTATCAGCATTCCGAAAAGGAAAGATTTGAGTCTTAAAGATAAATTCGAAGTGTTGCAAAACTGTGATAAGCTTCCTAAATGTAGTCAACGTGAAGCTTCAATGGAGATGGGGCTCATAACTGTTTCGAAGAAATGATCAACAAGGATGAAATCGAAATGGACGAGAATTTTTCACGTAATGTAGCTATTGACAATAACCTGCAAACATCAGGAGAAAAATCTGATTCTGAAATTGTTACAGACATCAAAAATTGCAAAGTTATTTCTCATCAAGAAATGGAGGAATCAGACTCAGAAGATGAAATAAACTCATCAGTGCCATCTTCAATGGAAGTCAGAAAAGCACTTAATGTATTGCTGCAAGCTTTAGAACAAAGAGGAGGAATATGGAAAACTATAAAAACTTCGATAAACTCTCAAATGATGTTGAAAAGTTAACTTTAAATACTGCAACTCAAGCAACCATTGATCGGTTTTTTGCAAAACTTTTGTAAATTTAATCTTATGTAGGGTTTTACTTTATTAAAATAATTAAATTAGTTAAAATAAAGCATTAATGTGGTCATTATTTCAGCTTTTAAAGTGTGTGCATTTAGAATATATCGTAAAAATTTGTTTTTTTTCTTTCAAATGTTGAATCGCCTCTTAATAAAATCAGCCGCTTAATAAAATCAAAAGAGCATAAAACGAAAGTGATTTTAATAAACGGCGGGCACTGTACTCAAGAAATTTTCAGGATTTTTGAGTTGGGCTCACAACCACCCCTGTGCTATAAAACCATAATAATTTAAGATGAAATTGGTCGAATTGAGCAAAAAAAATAATTAAATATTAAAGTATAATAACTGCAAAATTTGTGTGTCAAAATAATATACTAAAAAGGTTGATTTATAAAATTCAATTGCATCTTTAGTTTTATTTTATATAAAAATTTTCCTCTTTAGTTTTTATGACTTTCTAATAATTGTTGAAATGCTTAAATATATATATATTAACAGGAAATGCAACAGCCAATGGAAATTTTGCTAACTTCGAAACTGCTTTTAATTCAGTGGAAAAAACTGGTATGTTATTCTTTAATGTTAGAAAATAATTTGTTTTAAAATATGAATTTGTACATTTAATTTTTTTAGGTAAATTATTCAACACTGTTCCACACTGTTACATATCTTGTATATTATACCATAATTTATAGCAGCTTTTAGGGAGGTTTAGCTGCTTTTAGAGAGGTTTTTTTATTTATTTATTTTTTCATTGAAGGCTAATATATAAAGATATTCCAAATTATCTTAGCAACTTTGATACACAATATCACATAACTTAAGATATCTAATTTCGTTTGGTTCTATGTATCTCAGTTGTAAATATTTTAACATAGTTTTTTGTTTTCTATTTATAAAACATTGAAGCAAATGTTCAATTTTACCGTTTTGCTATGTTCAGCTGTGATTTTTGCCTTTTCAAAATCGCAAGAATAAAAAATTCTGTTAGTTAACTTATCTAATTATATCTATCTGTAGTGTTATGTTGTATCAAGGTTTGAGAGAGAATTTAAAACGCATTATATTACTGTTTTTGGGGAGGGAAAGTTTTAAAGACATCAGGCACAATAAGTAATAATCCACTTTCTATACAGTTAAGGATGAACAGAGTAATATTTTTATAAATTAAAGTTGTAGCTTATTTTAATTTAGAAAGCTTATTGCTGAACCTTTTTCCAACAGAATGAATGCTCTTGTTGGGTATACAAGAGATTACTACAAATTATGGAGAACAAGAAATTTTATTAATCTTAAGGTCAGGATTGAAACTCAGGAGAAAAGGCTTAATTTGGGCTTTAGACATAAAAAAGTTCAATCATTTTTTCAGAGTAATTGGTATAAATTCTGTAAGAAATTATGTGATGCTATTTAATTGTTCAATTTTTGTTAATAAATATGCATTTATTAAAAGTTTTTTTTCTTCCTAATGAATACATTAATATTCTATTTACATTAAAATATCAATTTATGATTTTTCAAAAGTATTGGGAAGTAAAAAGTTGATTTTAACATTAGAAAATATACCTCCTCAAAAATGTTATCAATATTTTTTAAAAAAAAAAGAAAAAAAGAACCTTATCTTAGGCATTTGTTTTTTACCAAAAAAAGATGTTTCTTACAATAAGCTACCAGCTATTCTTACTTTGAGGTAACATAAATAATAGCCTCAAAATAAAAATAAAATATATTAAGTGTATGTATCATCCATTACATCTCTTTTTAAATAGAAAAGTATGATAAAATTAATCTGATTAACTTAATGAATTTTTTTTCTGAATTTTGTATGTTACTGATCATATTTATTATTGATAGGCGAAATTTTGAAAGACTTGGGTTATCGCTTTTTACAACTTAAATCATCAATTATTTATACATATAATATATATATTTTTTATGTATATATTGTGTGTCTAACATGCAAAAGGTTGTACGCTTTTTATTTTATAATTCTTTCTCTTTGCAATTTTCTAAAGTTAAACATTTTGCTGTAATTTTCTGTGCATTAAAGTTGATGGAAACTTTAAAGCTTTACTTAATTAATCTATAATATTATTGCCTGTTAATTTTTGAGCACAACTTTGCTTACTCAATGCATGTTGCATTAATTTAACATTTTATTATTAATTGGTATGTTGCTTGAATTTGATTTCTGTACATGAGTCAAAGTTCAGTTCATGTTTTTTTAATTGCTTAAACTTCCATATGAGGAATTTGATTTAAAATTTGACTAATGCTTATAAGTCCAAACTTGCTTTTTCCTTATTCTACTAATTATTAAATTAAACAAAATAAACATTCATAACAATTACCAAATGTATAAAAATTTTGTGTTCTTGTATCTATATTAATTTATATAAATTCATAAGCTGTTAAAATTCCTAATTCATTTCTGTAATGCATTTATTATCTTAACTATAAACAAATTTACTATAATAAATGCAGGCTCAAAGAAATTTAAGGCTCACAGAAATGACTTAGCAATTGTATACCAGTTTTTTTATTAATAGCATTATTTAAAGAAAAATATTTAATTTATAATTATTTGGATAAATGTAAAATTATAATTTTTTGTGCATTGCATGATCTTGCTTTTATAACGAAAAAAATTGCACGAATATTTATGTTATTGTTTGTTCTTACTAAGTTTCTTGCTGTACATTTCTTTTGTCTCTCGCTTTTTAACAGTTACCTTTTTGCTGATTTCCTATCCTTATTCCTTGCTACTGTCTATCCTTTTTTATTCTTTAGTTACTTTCGCAGTTTAGTTTTTTCTGTCCATTAGTGGTCAATTTTGCTAGTTATGGTCATTTGATTTTCAGACTTGACTGAAGCCAATCAATCCCTAGTTTGAATATTTTCTTTCACGTATTCTACTAATGCATGCAGTGAATGAAGTTTAAAATATATGCTAGATGTTTTTGTTGTAGTATTAAATTGCATGCAGTTTTTTAATATATTGCAATCTAGTAGATGTGTTCTACAATATTGCACAAAATTTGTTGATAAAACTTCAATTTTTAGACTGTCTTTTTTTAAAAATTAAAATATTAACAATTAGAGCATGATTCAAACTAATTTTTCTAAAGTGATTTATTATAAATCTCTTAATAACAAATTACTAGAACTATCAAGAAAAATAATCCTTCTGCAGGTTGGACTTCTTTTGAGGATGATCTTGATCCCCTTTCTTCTTCTGTTTCTCGCACTCTGACTTTGGGCAAGGATTCTTTTTCTCGTGTGGTTTCCTCTTACTCTTCCACGGTTATGCCTCGGCCTTTGAGCCTTCCGACTTTTGCTCCCACAAACCCTTTCAAATCACAGCCCTTTATTAACTCTGGGAATACATCAACACCTTCTCAGTCTCAGTGGCCATCTTTTGCAGCTGGAAGTAATACCGTTCCTCCTCCTTCGAGTATGTCAACATCAGCCAGCCTAGATACATACCCTATGCAAACACGCCAGACAAACAATCTCCAGAACTCTATTCATGCCTTCAGCCCTGCTTCTCCTCCTGCTCCTAATCCAAACTCTGCATCCATTGTTTCTACCCAGCAGAGTAATACTGATAGATATGCTGCCCTGAAGGATTTAGATAGTTTATTTCATCAGCCAGCATCTACAAAAGCTCCAAGTTGGACTGTTGAAACTACAAGTTCTGGATCACTGTTTGAAGTTCCTGCTACTGGTGAAAAGAGTGGTAGTCTTTACAGTACTGGTTAGTTTAGTTATATTTTATTATGAAGACAAATAAACTGCAAAATAAATCTTGCAGAATAAATTTTCTTTCACTCACACAAGTAATTAATTTTAAATTTAAAGTATAGAAAAAGTGTATTTAGGTAAACCTAAACCTTTCAAATGCTGAAACTTTTTTCCTTCTTTCAAAATATAAAAATTTGCAAAAATTTTGGCAGGATAATGCAGTGGGTGAGTTTATCTAGTAATTATTTCTTTGCATTTTGAAAGTATTTTTTCCGCATTTGAAACTTCATGGTTTACTCTAGTACTCACTTTTATATGCCATGATACAAAATTAGTCATAAAAAGTTTCTCTCATATTATGTCAAATTATAAATAAGCAGTTTTAATTGTTCAGTTACTGTTAAATCCTAATAGTGTAGTCTGTTTGAGATTAAACATGGTAGTTTCAACTTTTAAGGCTTAGTTTTAAAAGTGGTCATGACCAGAAAAATGAAAATATGAGAATATAAATGTCTATTCATTCTTTTTACTTTATTAAGTTTAAGGTTAGAAAGACATGAAATTTTTTATCAAATATTTTTTTCCTTTGTTTTATAATGGTCAAGTTTGATTTTAAACTTTACTTTTTTTTTTCTGGTTTCTTTAGCCAACTATTAATTAAAAACAGATCAACCTGGAGGTTTAACTATTGTTTAACTATCTTTGATGAATTAAATGCCTATTAATATTTAAAATTATGAGTAAACATGGGCTGATTGTGCTCCGGAAAAAATCCGGATTTCCGGAATTTTCGTTAACAGTGATCCGGAAGTTTCCGGAGATCGAAGCTCCAGGCGTTTAAAAAAATCATTGATCACAGAATTTTCTGGAAATCAAATTTTCAAAGGTGGAACTTCAAAACACAGTTTATTTTATTTGTTTGTAAGGGAGAGCCAGAGAGATACTTTCTAAGCTTATATTCATGATTAATATTCATTTTTCATCAGTAAATAGTTATTATCATAAACTCAAGAAAGAAAAGACATATTTGCAAATTTTAATTATTTCTTCAGGTCATCATAGGTATGTGTAAAATTTTAAATATATTTTAAGTAATCTAAGAAATATTGAGAAGAAGGAAAAATACCTTGTTTAAATTTTTTTTTAATTTTTCACTTTAAACTGTTCTTTTTTTTTTTTTTTCCAACTCAAGAAATTTTCCGGAATTTTGATTTGGGCTCACAATCACCCCTGTAATACATAATAAATTTCAAGTATGTTTAATGTCAATCATAACTGGAAAATTTTGAAATTTTTCTATTTTGATGACTACAAAAATCCTTAAAATTTCCTGTGTATAAAAGATTTAGTTTATTTTGCAACAATTATCGTGAAATTAATTATTTTGTAAAATTTACTGGATTCTTACCTATAAATATTAGCAGCTATGCATAATTAATGGTTGTTTAAATTTCATACTGCTGAGACATCCATATTTAAGGAATATTATATTGATTGTTAATTCCGCTCAAACCTTTATTATGAATTTGATGACATTATAAAACATCATATTTAAAGCATATTAAACTTTAATGAATATGTTGGCATTTTAAAAGCCAAAAAAGCAATATCAAATTGATTATAATAAACTTTATATAGCAAAGCACACACACAAATGTATATATATAAAAAATATTTTAATAATTAGAAACTTATTGGGCTACAGACTTGTAAATTTTACAGATTTTATTTTTGACTACAGAATTCTTGAAGAATTCTTTTGAAAACTGAACAGAAGTTCAATTTATTGATCTTTTTGTTGCACTCAATTATCTGCACATTTTTTAAATCTCAATTACTTATTACTGTACTTTTTTTTTCTTTTTACGAATAACTCTTTGTTTTTTACATATAAATGTTAGTTAAGCAATTAAATTCTTGACAAGTAGTGTTGAAAATTTCTTCACATTGAGCTGAGATATTTCAAAAGATGTTATAGCTCTGCACATTCCACAAAATCTTATATTTTGCTCAGAAATTTTATTATATTCTCCAAAGTAGGACTGGGCAATGTAAGAAATTTTATATTGTGATACATCGTCTGTTAGACATCGCGATATAACGATGTATCGCGATTTAGCATATGTTCAAAAATTATCTATCAGAAATCTTTAAATTAATCAAAAATAAATAAAAGGAATAAATCTATTGCAAAACTAAATGTCTTAAGTAAAAATAAACCCAAGCTTTATTTAAATTTTTTTTAAAATTAAAAATGACTTAAGATTTATTGGTTTAAAAATAATAATAAAACTAACAAAATATTTTACATACATACATTGAAAATTAAAAGGAAAAGAACGAAGGTAAAAAAACAAACTAAAGAAATATTCTGTTTAGTAAAACATTTTTAAATTATTTGTTGAAAAAGAATTGTGCTTTTGAAGCATCGTAATATCGAAGCATTGTGCTTTTTTAATTTGTTTATTTAAAATAACGAAGTAGTATTAACTAGCGGTCTAATTCTATACTTAATGAATGTAAAAATAAATATAAGTTTTTTATTTATTTATTATTATTTTCTTTTTTGAAAATAAAATCGACTATGGATTTATTTGTTTAAAAATGATGCAGACTGTCTAACAAATTATGAAACAAACAAGTATTGAGAAAATTTTAAGAAAAATTAAAAAAAAAACCCAAACTTTTAAGTACTATTGTTAAATTATTAAAAAGCGTCAAAACAGTGCTTAACTTTTTATTCAATTAAAAAAAAAGTGTTTTAACTAATAGCCAAATTTTTTTAAAATTAAAAACGACTGAAGATTTATTTGTTTAAAAATAATAAAATTCTATCAAATTATTATACTTACGTGCATTAAATAGATTTTTAAAAAAAACTAATTTTTTATAACCAAGTTAAATACAAAATATCCCTATTAAATTGTATAACTAAAAATGAAAAACAATAATTAAAAAAAAGAAACAATAAAGAATATTTTTTTTTATTCATATTTTCTTTTCATTAATAGATTGAGCTCAGAACGAAGATTTAAGATAACAGCGATTGCGCAACGATTGCCAAGTTCTACTAAAAATAATTTACAGGAATCGTTAAAAACCAACAGACGAAAAAAAGAGAAAAAGTGACAAAATAATGCAGAATGAAACGATCGCTTAGTAGTAAAGTGCACAGTGATCACAAAATAACGTAAATCCAGCTAAAAATAATCTTCAAGAAAAGTAAACTTCCGAAGACAAAAATATCGCACAAAGAAACTATGCATAGCGTTTTATTTCAACGCCAATCCTTGCACGAAACCGGGAGCTTTTCGTTATTCAACGTCATGAAACTAACATCGTGTTCGTAGCTAGACGCTATAAACAGCTCCGCAGTTAGACGAATCCAAAATAGTCTTCGTCACCGTGGTGACAGCGTTAGCGTAGACAAGTATTCTCACATATTAAATCGTTAAACCGCGAGCGTTGTCTTACATGACTGCTTAAATCAGATTTCTGATGCATCGCCTAAGACAAAAGTTATTATATCGGCCTGCGGTTATATGCATTAAATTGATATTTCGCAATGCATCGATTTATAGCCCAGTCCTACTCCAAAGTCATTTAATTTAAGTAACTGTTGGGAGAAAAGATATGAGTGTCTTGGCAGTTTTTCCCATGATTAAAATTTTTTTTTTATAACATGAGAAAAAGTAAATATTGTATGAAAAGTATCGTACCTTAAATTAGGTCAGAAAAAAATATATGGAAATATTATTTTAATCCAATTTATAGCCAGGTCTAATTTTAATTCACTTACTGTTTCTTGTAGTTCATGATTAATATTTATTTTGAAAAAAAATTTTTGTTCTAAAATTTTCAGCCCCTTCCAATCCCTTTTCATCAAGTAACTTATGGAGTCAGCAGCCACAACAAGCTCCGATTCACAACACTTACCAGTCAGCCAATCCATTCCAGACAGGCTCAGAAAGTGGACTGTCCTATACACAAACAGCCAGCAGTCAAGCTTATGCACCTTTTCCAATACCAATTGTAGGCAACAGTCCCAGTGATGATGGAGTACGCAACCAATTCAATACCAATTTCTCTGCTTTTCCAAACCAGATAGTTTCCAGTCCTACAAATGGCTATGGTACCAATCAGCTATTGTTTCAGAATGGTGGAATTGTCTCTCCAACCACCTCTTCAGGAATGTGGAATGTGCCAATGTGGTCATCTAGTCATCTTGGACAAAGTGGTGGGTTGTTTACTAGTGAAAATAAATCATCAATGGATTCTGCACAGCACTCGGATTGGATTCAAAATCCTGTCAACCCATTTACTGTAAGTTTGATTTTTTTTCTATGTTTGCTCTTAATATTTGTTGTGAATATTCATTTTGTGATACTATTAAAATAATAAGTATTATTTTTCTAATTGAAAGGTGGAAAAAATTCCCCTTTAATTTCGAATTTTGTGCTCCATACTAAGAAAGGTTTGAATTTACAAATTTACTTCAATTATCTGTTAAATTATATCTATTGACTCAGAACAATTTAAGTATATATACATTAGTTATAAATATTTGAAAGTTGTGCTAACAGAATTTGATTTAAAATTATATACAGAGGTTAATTTAGATCAGCAGTCAGCAACCTGACCTCAAGGCCACTTAGTGACCTACTGGAAAAGTTTTAGTGTCCCTGTAAACATTCTTAAGTATGAGAATTGGTTGGTATTCTTGCCTACGAATTTTAGTGGTGCTTTTGATCTGGTGAACAGTCGTAAACAAATTGCTCTATGTTTGGAGGCAAGACAAACAAATGAAAAGAAATTATTTATTTATTTAAAATTTCTCTATCATTTATAATTGGTAAATTTGTTTTTATCTATAATTATATCAGTTTGAATTATTTTTATCAACGCTAATTTCCTTCATTGGAACGTTTTTTCATGACATCAGCAGAAGTGGCATTTTTGCACCAAGAAAACACAGACTAAAATCAAAATCTTGTATCTTCGATAACAATTTTGAAGTCAATGGAGGCAACCTCTAAGAACGTCAAACTAATGACCATTTTACTGTGGAATAGAAAGTGTTTTCTCTCAAGAGGTTTCACTGTAATATTTTTTTTTAATCTTTTGCTTCAAATTATCTTCGGATAAAAAATTTTATTATGTTCAATTCTCTAAAAATGTTCTCAAGATACGGCAAAATATGCAAAAAGTAAAATTAATGTTGGGATCTAAACTTTTGACAGCTCTCTTGACCAAACTATTAGAAATGTTTCCTATAATGGATAACTCTATATTTTGGGGGTCACGAATCTGTCCTGTCGAGGAAAAAAGTATGTTTATTTAGGGAAAGTAAGTTTATGTGCCTGATTTTGTAACTTAAAAATATTGTCTACACTAACAAATTAGCATATTTGAGGTCACTCTCTCTAACTTATAAGAATGAGTATAAATACATGAAAATCCCATCATTGGATCAAAAGTTTTTCAGGGTGGGTAATTGTTTTTTGTGTATTGTACATCTAATTTGGCTTTTAAGTGGAGGGGTTGAATATTTATCTCATTTATGATCACAAGTTCTATTGAAAACAACTAAACTAAAAATTAGCAATGCAAACTATTGTATACCTAGCTAATAATTTGTCCTAGTTATTAGGGTTCCCATTCAATTTCACATATAAAATTCTTTGATTTTTCCACAATTATAATAATAAAATGAAGAAAAAAATTTTTGCAATTTTTTCATCCACGCACAATCATTCACTCAATATGTACTGTAGTAACTTATGGATTTCATAATACACAAATTAATTTAAAACTGTTAACAAATTAAAATTTTAAACAAATTAATTTAAACACAGAGAAAGATATTTCTTAGCTACAAATATGTTTATATCTAAGAGACAATTTCAAACATAAAATTGTTAACATCCCCCTTTTTTTAAAACAAATTTGCATTTCGATTTGAATTAAACCTTTAGTATAAATTTTTTTCAATAAATGATATCCTTGGCCAATAAATATTATTGTTACAATTAAGTTAACACTTGATTATTAACTGTAATTTGACTAAATAAATTCATAAAAAAATTTCTGACCAGTGAAAACCTTAGTTGTGACTGTTAGGGAAAAAAGAAAACTTGCACTATCTGATTGAGTAGCAAAGAAAATTAAATAGAGGAGAGTGGAATAAGGCATAATGGAGTGAAACCAGGTACCTTGCTTCAGCTGAAATTAGTTCTGTTTTCTAGTGGACAGACTCTAAATTATATTCTGCTAGGTAAAAAGGAGCTTCAGATTGGCATATTCTTATGTTAAATTCATGACATCTGCATTGATAAATTTGTTTTACTATGTTAACTCTGTGTTCTTTTTTTTTCAAAGTTATTTATGGCACTAATAGTAATAAAAAATCTTTTTATGTCAGCTAAGTGTTTGTTTATAAATGATAAGGACTCATACTTTAAAAAACATTAAGGATTTAGTTTAGTAATAGCATGTTTATGTTTTATTTAGATAACCTCTGCTCTTGGGGTAAATCGATAACTAGCCGATTGAGAGAAGGAATGGGGAAAATGACACGTAAGAATGCGCTATTAAAAAGAGTTGTTTTGTAGTGATTAAAAATAAAGGAAAAATAGAGAAGGGTATGAAGAACCAATATAACAAAACATTTTTATCAAAGACTTAAATCCCTGATTTATATTTCCCCCACTAGTGGGGAAGATCAGGTGATTTGACTTTTTCTAGAAAAAAAAAATTTAGACTAAAGTAATAGACTTTTTAGACATGATATATTGCCCACAACTAAATAATGAATATTTTGATTAAATTAGGCAGTTTCTAGGTTGAACAGTTAAAACTCTAACAGGTTCTTGAATCTTAATTACCCGATCTTACCTCTCTTTCCCCTATTGAGTATTCAAAAGCAATTAATTTCTTTTATTTGATAATGAACGAAATATATGGGCATTTTTTAATAATTTGCATAATTTTACAGGTTCCATCCAGCAATTTAGGATACCAAGTAGGTCCCAAAAGCAACTGTAGCAATCCTTTTCTATGACATGTAAAAAAAGAAAAAGAACTTGATCTAATGTACTCTTAAAAAGTCCAGATTTCTATGTCAGAACATCTTGGAAGTTTTGCAAACATTAGATATGGAGATGATCTTATATATATATATATATTCAGTTATAAATGGTATTTAATGGAGTATGAATGAATGACCTGTATGAGAGAGGTGAGCTATGCTGTATGGGGATTATATTGCAGTTGTATATAAGATAATTTTATCTGTATATAATAATCACATACAGATATATTATATATATGTAAACATGCCCTTATTTGTAGTACAAGGCTTTTCATCTATCTAGTCCTTGCTTAAGTTTCTTTTTAAGTTTGATAAACAATTTTTTAGATATTTATGAAACATACTTTACCTCAAACTTTTGTTTTAGTTTGTATTTATTTAATTTTATAATGCTCATTGAGCTGAATTTCTGTGAATTTAACTATTTAACTTTAGAACTTCAACTTTTCATTAATGCTAAGCTTTTCCACAAAAACATTTTTTAGCTCATCTTCCAGTTTATCTACTTGTCTAGTTCAAGTTATCCTACTTTTATCAAGGCTGTAATTATCTAGAATAACTTGGAGTAAGGCAAGATTAAAAAAAAGGGGGGTATAAGTCTTTGTTTGTAACCATTAGCTTTGTTAAAAGTTCCATATTCTTTTCATTTGCTCACTTTAATAAATTAGATACCGTATTGAATGTTACTTTTGAGTTGTTTCATATTATGTAAATGATGTCATGTATAAATAAACTATTGTTTTATTTTGCTACAAAAATGTGTATTTATTGAAAAGATATCAAATTGTCTGAATAAAATTTTATTATTCCACAAATTTGAGTTTATACAAAAAGAGTAATTGATGACAATTTTGATGATTAGCTTTCTCTTATCCATAGTAAAAATTGCTGTGCTTGGAAATATAAGATCAACAGCAAATGATGTGACATTTTAGCAAACAGAAAAAGATTAACATTAATGATTCAATATTCAAAGTACAATAAACAATTAAATGCATATTACTATATGGCATTGGGTAATGATGATAAATGAATAATGCAAATGAAATGTAGCAGGGATACTTAAATTAGAGCCTATCAGTTTATTTCTCTTTAATACATAAAAAATAATTATTACCAAAAATTATCTTTTACTTTAAATATTGAAATTATGGTTTGGCAAGTGCTTATTTGCGTGATTTCGTTTTAAAATAAGTATCTGATTATGACTATTCTAGGAGGGTGAATTATTTACATAGGGAAGTATCTCATGGAAATGTTTAATTTCATTCACGATTGGATAAATGTATATCGTAAAGAAATTTAATTTCTCCATTAGTTATATACCAGACATTTATTTTCTAAGCAGAATGCTAATTCAAATTTCTCCATTATATCTTGAAATTTTATAATTTAAAATCATATTTAAGCATCCCTAATACACGATAAATATTTATGACCAAATGAAATGCGAGCTAAAATCAAACACTGGGCAGTGTTTGTTTGGCACGAGCTACTGACACAAATGAAATATGGCATGGGTTTCAAAAATCTATAAAGGGTAAAATGAGAAAAATATGGCAAATAATACAAAATGATAAGCATTAAATGAAGGGGAAAAACAAAAACATGTTCAAGTAATCTTGTCTTCACGTGAGATTTCATACCTTCAGATCATAAAATAAAGACTAAAGAATCTTTCGCACTTCAGGCATTTTACATCAAATGAGAAACATGTGACAAGATTGAACAGCCTGTTTTACGATTTGTCATCTAATCTTGGATTACTTGCAGTTGCAGCAAGCAATATAAGATTTTAATCACATCAATAATTTTACACAGAGAAGGAGAGAAAGCGGTGAAAATTTTTTCCTTGTAGAGTGGAATAATCAAAATACTATAAAAATATGAAGTCATACTTTAGATGTTTATAAAGGCACTTGATTGAAACACTTAATAATTTTTTTAAAAGTTGCATAACATAGAAAAATGAAAGAAATTCTTAATTCAGCTGTTTTAATATTACAAACGATTCAAAAATACCTGATCAGTAAAGAAAAAGACAACTTTTAACTTACATAAGAATGATTTATGCTTTGATCCTCCATAACCATTCTCACAAACACATCAGTTGGGATGAATTTTAAATCTGTGTAAATCATGATTATCAATTTTTATCTCATATATAAATGACAAAAAACACAGTTCTATTAAAATACACAAAAACAAACAATACACAAAATAATGAAATGGCACAACACTTTCACTTAAAACAGTTGTCGCAAATGAAGTGCTTCTCAAGATGAAAAATAAATGTTCCAAGTTTTTTTCATAGTGGAAAATTATATGCATAAAACATTTAATAAATTAAATATAGTAAAACTTATGAACATATTAAAAAATTTAAAACATTTCTTTTAAGGCACTGATAAAAAGGCACAATAGAAGACTAACTCAAGAAGAATCAGTTTTTTTCCCCTACTAACCTTTCTGGCATAGGACACCAAGTAATATCAACAATAACAAAGAGTTTAAAGCACTTATATTCTTTATTAATGAAATATTTGATATACCCTTCTACTAAAGAAGCTTTACTAATATTCAGGATTTGTTCTTTTAATTACTGAAAAATAGACAATTAATATAATTACTTTATATTTGTTGAGTACCTTTCTTTCTAACTTCAGAAATGACAAGATTGTTTTTTTTTTTTTTAAATATGAGCAGGCACTTACTTTAATTGTAGATTCAAATATATTTTTAAATAGAATAATTTATAACTTACCAATTTATAATTTAAAAAAATATTACTATAAGAAAAAGTCTATCTGAATTAGTCTTTGCATATTTATGCCAAATTAGAATTATTTCCTTTTAATGCTTTAAAGGTATGAATACATAGCTATCCAGCTTTTTTTGTAGAAAATTCAATATTCAAAAACTACTTTTTACAATTACACAAATAAATCTGCATAAAATCTAAAGACATTATTATAAGATTTTTAAAATGTCATTTCAAAAGTGCTGGTTTTTATTATGCACTAAATACAAATGCAGTTTTAGTAGTTGAAAATTTATAATGCCCTAGAATATAACTTAAAACTATGAAAATCAACAAAATTAAACAATCTTATATTAAAATGCCTTCCATAAACATCAATGTTTTTTTTCTTCAATCAGTTGATTTAAATCAATAATTTTTTTCATAAAAAAATTTAGCTGATTAAAAAAAAAGAAGATTGAAATAATTGTAATTGATTTAAGTAAACAGTTACAATTAATTTATGAATTATTATGTTTTGTTATAAACAAATCATAATTTCTAAATACTCAGCAAATCAAACAAAAAATAAATATCAATTCAATAAATATTACACTAAGGTATTTATAATAGTTATTATTTTTTTTAAAAATGCTGTTAGAAAGATTATGAACTATGATTCAGTATGTCAAACTATGTAACAAAAGTAAACTTAACACTGGTAGTTTTATTTGAATATTGATTAAATTTCAAATATTAAATTGAACATTAATAAATAAATATAAGTGTTAAAAACATTTTTAATTTTGCTCATGCTAATAATATTATTAAGCTGTGCACATTTAAATAACTCACAGCATTAAAACAGAAACTTCAACAGTACGTTTTAAAATATAAAAGATTAAAATTTCAAGTAACACAAAATTTCAAAGTACTATTAACTTTCAACATTTTGTATAGAAAAATTAAAATTTATAATTGAGAGAAAAATAACTAATTTCTAAATACACCTGGACCTTTAGACTAATAATAAAAAGAAATACATAATAAGAACAGTCCACAATTTTTAAAACAAAGAAATCAGAAAATTGTTCAATGCGTCTTGTATAAAAGAAACAAGTTCTTTCTAAAAATGAATTTCCATTATTGTGAAAAACTTGTTTGTTTACAACCATTTCATAACAGATTCCTTGTTGAGAAGTGCTTCAACGTCTGACAAAATATCTGGATTCAATTCCTCCTATAATAAAATTGATATTCAGTAAATTTTAAAACAAGTAATATTGATTAAAACATAAAAGGGAGTTAGAAGTAACAATAGCATGAAGCGTAAGAAAACACAGAACATTAAAATATATATAAAAAAAACCCATCAAAAACTTTAATTTTATTTACTACTAAATTACATTAAAAAGACACAAATGAAGACATTTAGTCAACTCTGTCTAATTTTTAATGATTTAAATCTTAGGCAATTCAACTTATTAGTATGTTAATAAACTTTTCAATGCTTAAATATCTCCACTTTCAAGAAAATTGAAACTACAATTATAAACAATAATTAGACTCATTGTCAAATGTGCAGCAGAAACTTGGACTACCTCATAGAATAAAGTAAAAATACTTATTACTTTTTAGAGAAAGATTTTCAGGAAAATATATGGACCAGGGTGCAAAGCCAAATTATTCAACAAAAAATAAGCGCTTCTCAAGCACTCAAAAATATTTTTAAGCACTCTAAAAAAATATTATAACTTGGCAGGGTTGGAAAGCTTTTGACAATTGGCGGTTTTATCTTGTTTTAACCGTCATCCCAAAAGAAAAAAAAAACTTTTGGCATTGTTTTTGACAATTGTGTCAAAAATCACGAAGTATTGAATCATGTAAAACGAATGGCGTTTTCATATGCTATGGACTGACAATACGCCGAAATAGATTGGGCTTGAATTAATTGTGAAAAAGTTGAATAGAACAATGTGAACTATGTCTTTCTGCATAATCAACATGGTAAAGGAAAAATTTCATTTTGAAAAAGAGAAAATCGAGAATAAGCACCTTTAAGCACTTTTTGAAGAAGGTATGCACCCTGTGGACAAATCAAAGATGGAGAATTAGGAGTAATATAGAGTTTGGTAAACTATAAAGAAATGTAATAAAAACTGAAAGAATACAATGGAGTTAATGAGTGAGGAAAGAGCAACAAAAGAGAAAGGTCAGACACCCTAGGAAAAAAATGGCTTGAGGAGGTAGAAAGAGATCTGAAAAAATAAATAAAATAAAAAAATCCACAATTGAAGGGTAAAGGCCAAGGATTAGAAAAAATGGAGTTGTGTGGTAGAAGAGGCCAAGGTTCTTCATGAACTGTAGAGCCGATATGTAAATAAGTAATTATGTTAATAATCTAAAATTTCACAAGTCTTAGCATGTTTTTTTTAAATTTTTTTTTTATAACCAAAGTAAATATAGAACAATATATCATACTTTCTTCTATTAATGATAAGATTAATTATCTTAGTACACACAATGAAATATTTTTATTTAACATATTTAAAGTTTTTTCATTCTTCTACATTAAAACTTACACTTACAATTTATTAACTAATAGGTTTTTTGCAGTATATAATGAGTTTTATCCTCTAAATTTTTGGCATGGAATCTTGTCGCTTTTGATTAATTGATTGAATCAATATTTTCCTTGAAGGTTGAAGTGAATTTTATAATTCTTTTTTCTTTTACAAATATATTTTAAAGTATATTTAGAGAAACAAATTTAATATCATTATCATTCTGGCCAAACAGCCTTCCTCTGAAGATTTCGCCATAACAACTTGATTTATCTCTGATTCCTTATTAACTACACGAAAATCAGACTCCAACGAGTCAGCTCATCTCAACCGCTGCCTTCCCTGCTTTCTTGTTCGAGTGGGTCTATAAAGTAATATCTTTTTTTATTGTAGTGTCATTACTCATTCAAATCATGTTTGGCCATCCAATTCATTCTATTTATTTTTATGTATTTAATAATTCGGGATGTTTATAAATCTCTTGTACAGTTCAAAGTTAAATCTCCTTCCCCAGTTATTGTTTTCACTTACACCACCTAATATACTCCGCAAAATCTTTCTTTCAAATATTGTGATAAAATTTTCTTCCAGTTTTATCACTGTCCAAGCTGCAGAAGCATATGCATAGACTGGCCTGACAAGAACTTAGTTTTTCTAGAAAGAAACCTAGATTTTATAAATCTTCTCAGCCCTATTTGCCAGATAGTCGTTTTTTTATTTTATTTCAGGAGACATTCTGCTATCAATAGTAATAATTGATCCTACGTAAAGAAAACTCCTTACTGTTTCAAATCTATTCCAAGATAGGGGTCTGGGACGATGTTTCTTGAGAATAACATATATTTTGTTATCCCTACATTTATGACTAAGCCCATTTGTCTTGCAACCACTTCAAGGGCAAGAAATGCCTCTTTCAGGGTAAGAAGAGAATGAGCAATTACATCAGTATATGTAAGCAGTTGTACTGATCTAGTAAAAATGTAACCACTGGTATTGATGTTTGAATCACAAATAACTCTCTCAAGTGCCAGAGAAATAAATTCCTTGATAGAATTTTATAAGTTATACAAAACAGACTAATAACACGATAGTTGGCACACGTCAAAGGATCTCCTCTCTAGTGAATTGGACACAAATTGCTAATATTCTAATCCTTTGGCAGAATTTCAGAGTGCCAAATGTCAGTAATAAGTTCAGATAAATTCTTCAATAAGGTAGGTTCACAATTTTTTAAGATTATATAATGATTTTTTACTTTCTAACAGTCAGTTAGAAAGAAAAAAAAAAGAATTGCAATAATAAAAATACTCTCAAACTAAATTTCCCAAAATAAAATATTTTAGTAAGTTTGAATGATCTTTAAAATGAAATGAAAAAACTATTTTTACACTTAATTTTATTCTTACATATACTACAGCCCCTTTATCAAGCATACTGAGAAAATCATGACAGGCAGCTTCAAGATTATCATATAATAGCATAAATAACACGACTAAAATGCAAGTAATAGTAAAAGCTGTAATAATTTTTAAAGGATAATAACTTCACTAAATATGTGGTAGAATAGATAATTCGAGCAGTTACATTTAATTTTAAAAGCAAGAAAAAAGAATACATGCCTATGAAATCGAGATTACTTTTTAAACCATTCAACATTGATTATAAGCTTATTGAAACATAGCTTACATAAAAACACAATCTTATTCCTATCATATATAGTCATCACATATAGCATGTTGCTAAAATAGAGAAAATATAACATAATATATAAATTTAAGATTCTGTTTATAACAATATGATTCCTTGAGATTATTTAAGTTAAACTTTAATTGTCTTGATAAAAAGTTATAACATTTAAATTTCAGTGCAATGTGGTCGAATCTAAATGATGACATAGCTGCAGCAAAATGCTAAAATCAAAAACTGAAAGTAATAAAAAAAAAGTAAAATCATAATAATAAAAAAAATGGAGTTTCATACATATAATTTATATCTCACTTTTTCTATAATTTATATCTCTTGTCCTCAAAATAAGACTATCAAAATTATAAGATAAAATAAATTAGTTTAAAAAAATTTTTTTTTTTTTCCTTCTTAGAAAGTTTCACAAAGCATTACAAAATCAAAAAGATATTCTTGCTTTCCAAGTAAATAAGCATTAATTATTAAAGTGTAATAATTAATGCTTATTTACTTATTAATTATTAAAGTGTAATAATAATAAATGCTTCTCTCAGTTTTTATAAGGATAAACTGAATTCTTCTAAATGTTGGACTCGCTCAGCTATGTAATAAAAACTCACTAATTTTGAAGTTAAAACACACAAATAATTAGTAACTATAATTTTTGGTTTAACATTAAAGTATTTATTTGTAACCCTTAATCTCAGAATAATTTGCTTTTCCTGCTTAAAAAAAATTTAAAATACATTAAGCATTAGTGAATGCATGCATAACGTACATGTAAGCTTGGTTCCAAATCATCAGAATCCATGTTTTCAGGAACCATGTCTAAAGCTCCACCAGGTATAGGTTCTAAGTTCAACTCAGCAATATCAAGTAGTACATCTTTAAAAGAAATAATATATATATATATAGATCTGGCATATATACTTCATTTGAAAAAAATAATTATAGTGTGCTCTATTCTTATTGTATAGTATATTCAAATAATTATGAGCTATAAGATGTAAATTCATGGAAAATAGACATTTTCAGAAGGAAAAAGTTTTTCTTCTTCTTCACATTATTATTCACTACAATAGAAGTAATCCATTCTAATCTTGTGCTATAGGTTAAGTCTCAGTTTAATGACACTCTGATGATTATCTCCATTTAAAGATAATATTTTGTGACCTGCCTCTCCAATGCATAAGGCCTTTATTTAATTCTTTCCCCCCACTTCTACTTTTAATTGAATTGCACAAGCTATCTCCTAGATACTTTTGAATTAATTTTATTGTGGAGTTTGTACGATTTAATTGCCAGAACAGTTTAAAGAAATCAATGCATTTTGATCGCTTTTTAAACTTCATTACAATCTGGTTTCACTCTTGATTTTATTCTTGTGTGAAACAAAAATAAAATCAAAAAAGACCCTTGATAAACATGACAAGTGGTTATATAAAGGGTTATTTTAAGATAAATTTTGATTCTTTAACTCTTTAATGGACTCATAATTTTAAAGAAAAGTCATAAAAGAGACATTCAGACAATTATTTAAAACTTTTGCAACTAATTTTCAGCTTAGCCAAGATTAGTGCTGACTATTTGAAGATTTATTATAGAATGTTGCATAGTGAGCAAGCGGTAGATATTTTAAGTTTTTTCTGACAGCCATTGAATATGAAACGAAACAATTAGAATGTGTAAGTTAAGAGTTTTTATAAATAAAATATAGAAGCAAATAGTTGATATTTCAGAATTTTTAACCAAGAAGCAGCTCATTCTTTTCATAAGTCGTGTATCTGATTACAAAGTTGTTAAAAAATCAAAAAATTTAGGCGACTCTTCTTGGGAACTAAAATGTTAGGATGTAATAAAAAGAAAGTAATTAAATGACATAAAAATTTTACTAAATGCACAAGTTACTAATTTCTGATGGTGACTTGTCTTTCCAGATTTCTTTTCGACTCTGCAGGGTTCCCACTTAATTTTACAAAAAGAAAATTCCCTGACTTTCCCAGGTAAATTTCAATGAAAACCGAGAGCACATTTTCATCCGAAAATTTTGATCCTTTTATTTGAAATGCGAAATATTACAGTTTTTGGGTAATACAATATCATTAAATGAGATGAGAAAATTTTAGTTTGACTAAAATGCAAAATTTTTACAAAAAACAATTGCAATAGATGTTAGAATTATTTAACTTGAATCTCAATAACTGATTACCGTTACTGACAATTTTAAGACTGTTATTTTCAGATATGATTAAGGAATATTCTAGGATTTTGCAATAAAAAATTACAGCTTTCCCTGACTTTTGGAGTTAAAATAAAATTTCCTGACCGCTGGGAACCTTGCTCTGGTCCATCAACTTTAGCAATAAAACAATTAAAGCTTGCTGATAATTACATATAGAATTTTAAAATTTCATTTCAAAAATGATAGTTCTCCTACCATAAAAAAGTTTACTGCCTTAACTATACAGGAGTGGGATATGAAACATATGCCAACACTAAATAAAGTATACTATGTCCAACTTGACCAAAGATAGGGAGCAGCTACAATTGGTATCAAGGATATCACTGCAGGTTTTCTTGTTATTATTTGATATATTTTGCTACAGTATTTGCAGGGTATCTGCTACATTTTAGATTTTCAAATTCATGACTTTTCATGACTAATTCCAAGAACTTTTTATGACTTAAAAAAGTTACTATTTTCTCCGACAAAAACAGAATAATAAATTTAAATGATAGGTATAACCAAAACTGTTATACTCTGCATCTTCATATTTATTGATTTTAAAATTCAAAAACAGAGTAAAGAAAGAGTTGAAGCAATAAAATAGCTGAAAAAATACTAGCTGAGCAAATATTTTTTTCCTCTTTTTTTCTGCAGAATTATATTCTAAAGACACTTTTCTTGTCCATCAGAAGGGAAGGAAATACTCCTGGTTTTTCTGTTCTGATTTCAGAATTTAAAAAAAAATTGCCAATGACTGGCTTGCTTCAGCTAGAATTTTAAATTGATAAAATTAAAAAAATAATTAATTACAAAAATTCTGAAATTACAGAAGATACTTTGCTCTAGAAATGATGTTTTTTCATTCATTTTTTGAAAGAACACTATAATTTTTAAAGAGCATGATAAAATAACATTTTATATTTATATTTTAATAAAAATATCACTCTGAGTGAGGATTTTGTTACTAATTCAGAACACCATGAAATTGGGGGGGGGGATTCCAATTTAAAAATCAAAATTTTCTGCAAACCTAAATCCATAACTTCATATGATTTTTTCAAAAATATAGTTAAAACATAATATTTCATGACAAATTTCGTTCAACACAGAAATTCATGACCTTCCATGATTTTTCATGACTTTCCAGGTGCGCTGATACCCTGTAGTTGACATTTTCCTCATTTAAACAGCAAATATTTTACAAAATATATAATTCTCCGACCCAATTAGAATTGCGCAAACTTAAATAACTGAACAATTTTAAAATATCAGTGAATAATACAATTTCTTACCTTCTGTTCCTTCATCCATGCCCATCAAATAATCTTCAGGAGTGTTGGGTAAACTGTAATTAGAACTCAATCCTAAACCACTATCACCGCTCTCTTGGCGGGAATGAAAATCGGCATCAGCACTTATAAAGGGGTCTAGATTAGTTGAATTAGATTGAGATGCATCAGTGTGTCTATTTGATGAGGATGAATTAGCAACACCTTCTTCTTGCAATGTTTTTCTCATAAGATATTCCTGTAACATTGTTTCAAAATGATTGGAGATATTAAAGAAAAAGTGATTTAAACATCTGTGTAAGAAAGTAATACTTTTAAGACTAATAAATTAAAAAAAAAAAAAATTTCACTCGAAAAAAATTAGAAATCAGTGAATAGCTCTTTGTTATTTTAATGACATCTGTAACGAATTTAGCAAATCAAGGTAGGCTAGGCATTACATAGTTATGAATTAAAAACAGGCAGAATTTTACTTTACCTAAGAAAGAAAAAAATGTACTCCGAAATATTAGTCTGATTTATAATATACTGCATTCAAAATTATAAACGATATTGCGAATTGAATACAATAAGATATAAATGATTATCTGATTTTTCTCTTTGTTTCCAGCGTATAATTCTTATTTCTTTGTCCTGTCCTAAATTTCTCAATTTGAATGCAAACCTAACATATATTTAAAAATAAATAAACTGCAAAAATCCAGAAATCAATTAGAAATTTTCATGAATATGGATGAAATGAAGAAATATGCCAGAGGATAGAATGAAGAAATAAAACATTCCCTCTTTTTTTTATTGCTAAGAAATTTGAGTTTACACTTAAAGTATGAAAAAACTTGTATAGTTAATTTTTCAATGTATAATGTATCTATAAATAATGTATCAATGCATAGTGCACACAAAAAAATTACAATGTTTCGCCAAAATTTGAGACCTACAAGTGTTACCGTAAATGACATTAACTGGAACGTTACATTAATATTGCATTTTTTTCATCATTTGATGATTACTAATGAAAAAACAAAACACACATTACAAAAGAAACTTACATTGAGTGTTGGACTTGAATTTCCTAAATTTGAGTTCTAAAAAGAGATAAGAGAAAACTTGAATTAAAATAATTCCTAGTAAAGTATAAATAAGTAATAAAGTATAATTAAGTATAAATAACAAGCTGAAATAAATGATATATAAACAAATATAGTAAACTATTTAAAAAATTTACTTCATAGGGAATTTTTTAAATTTTATTGGAACTTATTAAAGTACCATATCGAGAATAATTACTCCACTGAATCTGCCAGTGAAAGTTTCACTAACAAGATGCACCAAAAGTTTCAAATTTAAATTGCAGAATTCTGTGAAAAGTTTTTTGGAAACCAACCGGCTCCTAATTTTTAGACCCAGAAAGGTGATGCAAAAAACTCAGAATCCCGGAGTAAACCCAAAATACAATCACCCCTGCTTTAATTTGTTCAAATTAAATGCAGTTTGATACAACAAAAATGGATTTAAGAATTGCAAAATACAAGTCTGAAAGAAGATCAGCAAATCAAAGACTTCATTACTCTCAATATTTCTTGTTGTCTTAAACGCAGTCGTTCACGCTCCATTTGTAGCCTTTGAAGTCGTAATTGCTGCTGTTGTTGCTGCAAAGTTTGATTACTGGCAGCAGTCAAAGAAGTTGTCACAGATGCAGCAGAAGCCTGAAAGTAAAGACATAATTTTGTTAAAGAAAAACCCTCCACCTAGTCAAGTTTTCATTGTCATTTTATTAAAAATTCAAATATTTTGCACAGAAATATATGAAACTTGTCAATAATAAAAACACAGGGAGCGAGTCAATTCGCTGGTTAAACCTGTGCCTGCCAAATACTCAGAATATAATATATAAAAATAAGCTAAAAAATGTTTTTGAATGGTTTACTATTTATAGATTCTTATTTATACTGATTTGAATAACATTTGAATTTTCTCTTTATTGTGATTGAAACTCAGTAATTACTTGATGTACAATATGAAATGGTGTTAAATACATTATCACTAACACTTATCGACTGCACAAAAGTCTATAATTTCCCAGAAACTCGTATCTATGGATGCAGTAAGCATTGGTTTGTTTCTCCTTCACTACCAAATTCAACATTTTACAAATATTTGATGAGTATTATGCTAGAAGCTAGAAGAGCAGATACAAGAGTAACATTGGTATATAAACTCAATGATTTGCATAACAACATCCATTGTCAGTTATTGCTTTTGCCCGAGTCATAACAAGACACGAGTATTACATTGTTTTTAAATCCTTTCCTTGTTTTCTTTAATCCTTTTAAAGAAAAATTATTTCTTAAAACCATGCATAAGCTGCAAACACGGACAGCAAAAAATCCAGCAGATTTTACAAAATAATATAAATTTTATAATTGCTGCACAATGAACTAAATATTTTACAGATGGAGAATTTTAAGGATTTTTATAGTCATCAAAATAGAAAAACTGCAATATTTTTCAGTTATAATTTCACATTAAATGATCTTGAAATGCAATGTATTATATTTATTCATAATTTTGAATAGTAATAGGCATTTAATGCTTAAAATGTAGTTAAATGAATTTTATAAATGAAGCTTGCCTCTTTATGTATTAGTGGCACTTATTTAAATAACCAAGAAAGCAATAATTTGCACAATTCTATTTCAATAGGGATTTTTTTAAGGGAACTTACTCAGTTTTAGGGAAATTTTCAAAATGTACAAAAACCACGAGTATTTCGATTAAACTAGTAGACCAAGAGAAACTGGCAAAATCCAGTAGTCTACCGTAAAATCCAGTAAAGTTGGCAGCTATGACCATGACATGCTGTAATTATAAGGTTTTATCCAAGTTCTTTCACATTATACCAACCAATTAAAGACCTTGTTAAATCAGGGCCTTTAATAAATGTGTTCAACTGTATTTTTGATTTAGTACTTAAGAAGCAAATAGAGACTAGAATAAGAAAATATATCAAATAGGGTGACCCAGGGAGGGTAATTCACGATCACTCTGTTTCTGGGGTAAATAATGATCATCTAAGTTTTTAAATTTGAGACATGGATAAGAAAGCTTGTATAACTACAGTAGCTTAAGTATAACTACATTTACTTAATAATAGTTTTTGTTTAATCTAACAAAATAAGTATCTTTTAAAATGTTTTCTGCATTTTCCATTTCAAAGATGGGTTTCAAAATGTGCACATTTCTGCAAAGATCCCCCTCCTTCTCTTAATAATAAATATTTTGAGTTACTTTCTTTTTCTTTGATACAAAAATAGTGTAAGCTTTTGTTTAATTGTTTCACATCTACTGTAAACATTATAATTGATTATAGGAAACTATATCAAATGTTGCCCCCTACAGAAGGGGTAATTATTGATTACTTGGGTAATTCCTGATCATTTTCATTTCTTCTTATAGTATAAAAAATAGCTAATAAATAGTTAATTGCCGTTTCTTTTATAACAGTTTATATTTATTAAGTGAAACAACTATAAAATATATTTTAACTATAATCACAAAATTTGTTCTGATATGCACCATTTCTAGCTTGTTTTACCTTTCTTGTATCTTAATTTTATGTGTGTACATTGTTAGAATAATTTTTAAGTTGATAAATTAATCTAATATAAATATGGTGAGAAATTATAAGCCTAAAAAGGATACTAAGCTTCTAGAAAGCAAAAATAGCAAATTTCTTTTAATGATTGAAAATGAAAATTTCAGTGTGAGAGCTGCTGCCAGAGCTGAAGTGTTAATCTTTATTACAGCTTTTAAATAAAACATTTTATTAGCTGCTTAAAAATATGTTTTTGGTTTATATGTTTGATCTTAATGTCTTATTTGTTTATTACCATCGTATAATTATTTTTTAAACAGCCCATTTACTATAAAAACTGGTGATCAGTAATTACCCCAGAAATGATCAAGAGAAGAGGTAATTCATGATCACTAAAAATTTTAAATCTTTTAAATTCTAATTAGATTTTCAAACAAAAGAAGTGAGCATAGGACTCATCTCATATAGCCTCAAATTTCCAGTAAATATTAAAATTCTATCTTGAATAGTTTTTTCACAAAATAGATGTTTGAATTTTTTGATCAGGAATTACCCCAAGTCATCCTACTAATTTTAAGATGCATTAGTATTTTGGAAATAGCAGAGATCATCTCCAATATTATAAATTTTAATGATGTTCACACAATGTCACTTGACAATTCTTGGAGAAGATCTACATTAGGGGTGCTCAACCTGCGGCCCGCCAACCCTCGATGTGCGGCCCGCGGCCGCAATCTGAACAAAATGAGAAAAAAAAATTAAATATTTGTTTTTGAAAAATAATAAAAAAAATTAGGTAATTTAAATTTACACTTATAAGTTTTTGACGCACCCAATCTCAATCAATGTAGTTTTTCGATGGTTAACGCTACGGATTTCAGCATAGTTTTAAAAATCCCAATATTTTTAATACATCATTATTACGATTTACGAATTTTAATTACCACTTTTGACGCTTTTCGTATGTGCCGATTCCAATGACTTTTCGGTAGTTATTGCTACCCATTTTCAAGTAGTTTCTGAAATAGCGATTTTTGAAAGTTATGAAACGCTTTATTTGTGCAAACTTCATGGAAAATCTAAATGACTTTAGATCCTTTCTTCAACAGTTATTGCTGCACATTTCCGCCCGGTTTTTAAAACTTCGATATTTTAGCACGATATTATTACGAATCGCGAGTAAAGAATCGCTCATTTAGATAACCATTTTTTGACATGGCTTATTTGTAACGATTTTATCGCAAATCAAATTATTTTGCAATCGTTATTTTAGAAATTATTGCTACACATTTCTACAAGGTTTTGAAAGTACCGATATTTTTTATACGCTATTGCGACATTTTAATTTCAAATCTCGCATTTAAATTACATAAAATTTTGATGGACTTTATTTACTCCAATTTCATCTAAAATAT